CTGGAGCAGTGGCTTGAGGTGTAAGCAACAGCTAGGTATGGTGGGGCACACCTGTAATCCCAGGTAGGTAGCATGGCTTCAGTCAAAAAAAAAAAAAATGAGCCCTTATAGGAAAAAATAATTAAAGCAAGAAAGGTTTGGAGTGTGGCTCAAGTGGTAGAGCACCTGCCTAGAAAGCATGAGGCCTGAGTTCAAACCCCAGTACTCCAAAAACATTTTTACACTGCTTTTGCTATATTTGTTCCTAGGTGTTTTATTCTTTTTGATGCTATTTTAAATACATTTTCTTAATTTCTTTTTTTTTTTTTTTTTTTTTTGGTGAGACTGGGGTTTGAACTCAGGGCTTAACACTTAACACTTGCAAAGCAGGTAATCAATCTACTGCTTACCACACATTCAGTCCATTTTGCTCTGGGTTTGGTTTTTTTTTTTTTTTTTTTTATGGTACTGGGGCTTGAACTCAGGGCCTTTACCTTGAGCCATCACCAGTCCTATTTTTGTGAAGGTGTTTTTGAGATAGGGTCTCCCGAACTATTTGCCTGGCCTGACTTCAAACCTCAATCCTCCTGATCTCTGCCTCCTGTGTAGCTAGGATTACAGACATGAGCCTCTGGAGCCTGGCCATTTTGCTCTGGTTATTTTGAATATGGAACCGTGAAAACTATTTGTCTAGGCCAGCCTCAAACTGCAAAACTCCTGATCTTAGCCTCCCAATAACAAGGATTATAGGCATGAGCCATGAGAACTGTCACGTGGCCAGTTTTCTCTTTTAAAAATTTGACTCTAGGATTTTCTACATAAATAAATATAGTTCTACATTTTCTTTTCTAATTTTATGCATTTTTTGATGTAATGTCTCACCACATACCCCAGGCTGGCTTTCAACTCATGGTCCTCCTGCCTCAGTCTCCTGGGTGCTGGTGTAATTTATTTTCATTTATTCTGCACTAACCTATAGTAATATATATACCACTTTTTCAGTACAAGGCTGAAAAAGTGGGATTTATATATATATTTTGATAGTACTGGGTTTTGAACTCAGGGCCTCTCTTGATAGGAAGAACAAACATTTTTGCTTTTTTATTTACTTATTGTTTTGGGAGTACTGGGGTTTGAATTCAGGGCCCCACACTTTCATGCTTGCTAGGCAGGCCTTCTACCACTTGAGCCACTCCACCAGCCCTTATTTGTGTTGAGTATTTTTGAGATAGAATTTCAAGAACTCTTTGCCCAGGGGATGGCTGCGAATTTTAATCCCTCTAATCTCTGCCTCCCGCAGTAATTAGGATTACAGGCATGAGCCAGCAGTGCCCTGCAGTGTTCTTGCTTTTTGATAGATTTTGCAAGAAAGGCTTTAAGGATTACACACTTTTTTGTATATAGAAACTATAGAGTCATGGGGGTTCTCCAGGGATTTAGAGTTTAGTAATTTCAAACAGTGTTGGACTTTTTAGTGCCTAGTTCTTGTGTCTTCCAATTTTGGCACTGTGTCCCTGGAGACCTACTCCTCTTCTTCTTTTTTACTTTTTTTTGAACTCAGGGTTTACACCTTGAGCTACTCCACCAGTCCTTTTTTGTGAAGGGCTTTTTTGACATAGGTTGAACTATTTGCCTGGGCTGGCTTCGAACCACGATCCTCCTGGTCTCTGCCTCCTAAGTAGCTAGGATTACAGGCGTGAGCCACCAATGCCTGGCTCCAATGTAGCCTTTTAACTGGAAGAACAGTTTAGGGATCCCCTACCAGAGACCAGCAGCTTTCTGCCTTACCTTTTTCTCCTCCATGGGGTAGGACTAACAGGGCCAAAAGAGGGGGAAAGTCAATTTCTCAGGATGGGACAAAGGTGAGAAGGACAAAATCTAGGGCAGGAAGTGACAGTAAATATTTATAAATGCTATATCTTCACTGTTTTAGAACCCAATAGTTTTCTGGCTTCCTAGTAATTCTTGTTGGGGTAAGGGAGAAGGTAAAATTAGAAATAACAGTTGCTCGTATCGTGAAGACACCAGAGCAAATGAAATGTTTGGACTGTCATCTTCCTCTGGCTCTTTCCTTCCTCAAACCAGTGCAAGTCTCCCACAACCTTTAAGACTATGGGTAAAGTTATGTCCAAGATAACTGAAGTTTCCAAGGACTAAGGCACTTGTGAGCTCTGACCAGCCTTGGCATCTGTTCATTGTGAGCTTTTTCCCAGTTGCCCCATGAGCACTGCTCCTTTCCAACAGGGCTGTTCTGCTGACACCATGATCCACATGGTGCTGCTGCTTTGCTTGGTCTTGTGGTCCCCGGTGATGGTGACTGCCTTCCCAAGAAATGCCCAGGGCAAGGCCCTGACCCTCCAGCCATCTTCCACAGAGACTGAGCATCCACCAAACATGGTGTCCAGTCATATCCCTCTCCCAGACCCCAGAACCTGCCAGAATCTCTTACACACAGTCCCTTCCTTAGCTCTGAGGGTGGCCCTGGAGGAGGCTGGCTGCCCAACTGAGGCCCACAATCTGCAGCTTCAGCTCACTAGGGTGGGAGGGAAGAATATCACTGAAACCCTCATCCATGAAAGCCAAAAGTACAATGAAGACAAAGGATTGACAATATCAAGTACAAATTGCACTAACAGTAAAACAATTGTGATTCTGAGGGATGTGGTAGTAATTCAGGGAAACAAATAAATCCAGCATGCAGCTACCCAACCTGAAGAATGGATGGATGATGACAAATATACTCATTGGGCTGACTGGTCTATTAGTTATCTTAGCTGGTGTTGAGTCTGCTGAAAAAAAAAATATTTCTCATGTGGTTGGCATCACAGTGCAAATTTTTACTGTCAACATCACCCGGAACTGCAAGTATCAGTCTTGAGAGTATATTGAAGAATTAGGCAACGAGCTGAAGAAGACCTCAAATTAAGAGCTCTGCTGGGCTCTATTGGCTCACGCCTATAATCCTAGTTACTCAATATGCAGAATTCAGAAGGATTGTGGTTTGAGGCCAGCCTAGGCAAATAGTTCCCGAGATGCTATCTCAAAAGCACCCAACACAAAAAGGGCTGGTGGAGTGGTTCAAGTGGGAGAGCACCTGCCTAGCAAGTGTGAGGCCCTGAGTGTTCTGACCCCAGTACCAAACACACACACACAAAAGAACACTTCACCCTCCCTCCCCCCAAAAAAAGAAAACACTTCAGTCAGGTGCAGTGGCTCTCGTGTCTATAATCCCAGTTACTCAGGAGACGTAGATTAGGAGAATCGCAGTTTAAGGTCAACTGGGCAATAAACAAGTTAGTGAGACCCCCATCTCGACCAATAAAGGTAGGCATGGTAATGTGTGCCTGTCATTCCAGCTACAGGGGAAGCAGGTGGTCCAGGTTGGCCTGGGCAAAAAAACATGAGACCCTATTTTAAAAAGAACTAAAGCAAACAAAATTGTTGGGGGGGGGGTGGGCAGGGCTTAAGTAGTAGGACACCTGCCTGGTAAGTGTGCAGCCCTGAGTTCAAACCCCAGTACCATTAAAAAAAGGAAGAAGAAGAAGCTGGGTGCCGATGGCTCATGCCTGTAGTTCTAACTACTCAGGAGGCAGAGATCAGGAGGACTGTGGTTCAAAGTCTTGAAAAAAACCCAACACAAAAAAGGGCTGGTGGAGTGGGTCAAAGTGTAGGCCCTGAGTTCAAACCCCACTGCTGCAAAAAAAAAAAAAAAAAAAGAACCTTTCATTGTCCATGAACAACAACAATATAATCTACCAAGTGTTCCAAATCCTTTCAAGTCATTTATGGGGAAAATGATTCAGGCTTACTTCAAATATTCAATGATGACATCAATATTCAATAAGTGACATCTCCTTTCTCAGGACTATGTACAAGGATGGGACATGGTGAGTAGTTAGAAGTGTCAGATGGGACACATATATGCTCAATTTCATCCCTATGCGAAAACACATATGTGACTGGTGTTAGTTTTGCCTTCTCTCCTTAGTAACTACCAGTCCGTTTCCTAGCCCAGCCTGTTCTTTCAGTCATTAAATATTGCATATTTCATATGTACTATGCATAAGAGGTATTTTAACCTTTACTGATTTATTTTTCCTATACTAAAGCCCCAACTAGATGCCATAGCTTGCTAACTTTTTTTTTTTTTTTTGAGACAGGGTCTCACTATGTAGCCCAGGTTGACCTTTTTATTTTGTCTTTTTGGTGATACTGGGGTTTGAACTCAGGGTCTCACACTTGTTAGGCAGGCACTCTACCACTCTACCACTCCACCATCTGGGTATTTTCGAGATAGGGTCTCACATACTATTTTGCCCAGGCTGGCTTCGAACCTCGATCCTCCTAATCTGTGCCTCCTGAGTAGCTAGGATTACAGGCATGAGCCACTTGGCTTCAGCTGGCCTTCAAACTCAAGATCCTGCTGCTTCCATTTCCAGAGTGCTAGGATTTGTAATTTGGCACCATACTGGTGCTAATTTAATTTTAACTTTAATTATTTATTTACTTAATTTTATTTATTTATTTTGAGGAACTGGGGTTTGAGTTCAGGGCCTCACACTTGCAAGGCAAGCACTCTATCACTTGAGCCACTCTGCCAACCCTTTATTTTTATTTATTTTTGGCAATACTGGGGTTTGAACTCAGGGCCTCATGCTTACTGAGCAGGTGTTCTTACTCCATGAGCCACTCTACTTGCCCACTAATTTAATTTTTAAATTGAAAAAAATGAAATGAGAGAACAATAAACATGTAATCACTCCTAATTCTGAATCTCCCTGGCTCCTATCATGAACAGGAGTATATAGAAAATTTCAAAGAACAAAGTCTTAGGTATTGAGGTTTAATATGTGACAAGGGGGCAAAGTTTGAGCAGCCAGTACAAATGGGTAAATATTTGCAGATATTACATCCCTTGTCAATCACAGGGAAGAACAAATATCTACTTTTCTCATGGGACACAGACGGGGCAAGACAGGATTCAGGAGTCACCAAACCTATCAAGGAGGTTTCACTTCTCAATGACTGGATTACGTGGTAATTTGGGGCCCCTATAAATGGGTGGAAATAAAAAAGGAAGCCCCTAGGACCTGAAAATGGAAGACATCAAATAGGAACAATGGGCATTTCCCATTTCCTAGGCCCTTAACTAAAAAGAACAAAAACTTGGAGGGAGGTGATAGGTGAGGTGTCCCCAGAGTGTTGGGGGGCCCTTTTCAGACTACAGTCCTTAGAGAAATATTTTGCATGTTTTGGGTTTCTCCCCTTCCTAGGGTACTCTGCTCCAGATATGCATAACCTCAGACTCATCATGATACCAGTTGAACTTTTTCTCTGCTATCTCCTGCTGTACCCTGTGGATGCTATTTCATATAGAGAGCAAACAAATGTCTCAGCGATGTATCTTCCTTCATCCTTGGAATCTCAGACACCTTCATCAGATCCCTTGTCCTGCCAGACCCTGCTCCCAAAGTCCCTGCCTGGCTTCACCCATATGTCCCCTCTACCCAAGTTCCTGGTAGGCCTGGCTCTAAGGAATGCCCTGGAGGAAGCTGGCTGCCAGGCTGATGCCTGGGCCCTGCAACAACAGCTCTACCGCTTGGGAGGTGTGAATGCTACACAGGTCCTCATCCACCATCTTCAAGGGCTCCAGAAAGGCGGAAGCACAAAGAGGGGAGTATCAGTGGAAGCCCTGACCTCTGCTCTGCAGCTGTTAGTCAGGGAACCGCCAGGCTCCAAGAGGGTCCAACGCTCCCTCCCCACTGTGGACTGTGAGAATGAGCAGGAACAGAGTGTGTACAATGTCTTACGACTGTTGCCGGGAGTGGGAACCTACTACAACCTGGGTACTGCTTTGTATTATGCTGTTCAGAATTGCTCTGAGAAGGCCAAGGAAAGAGGCCAAGAAGGTGCCATAGACCTAGGTTTTGACCTTCTGATGGCCATGGCAGAGGGACCTGCAGGTATAGTGATCAGTGCTGCACTTAAACCAGCACTGAAGGTTGGGGTTCAGCAGCTGATCCAGTATTATTATGATGAAAAAGAAGCAAACACCCCTTGGCCAGAGTATAGGAAAGAGTATTTGTGGGGCACCCCAGATGTGAATGACTTGGAAGAAACAGCTACCCTGAGTCCATTGGCATCAGAAAATTTAAGTACACCTGTCTCTTGGGGGTGGCTAGGCTTATTCAAGAGTTATGGGTGAGATCTGGGAGCTGGGAGTCTTGGAACATGAAAAGTGGTAGCCATAAAATGAATAAATGTAATATTCTGACAAGCTGTATCTGGTGTGCTCAAAATCCACACCTTTAAAGGGGGCGAATCTAAATCTCTGATTTCTTATGCAACAGGAAGGCCGCGCTATAAAATGTAGGAATTAAAAACGTTCAGGACTGGTGGAACAGCTCGAGTGGCAGAGCGCCTGCCAAGCAAGTTCAAGGGCCTGAGTTCAAGCTCCAGAACTACCAAAAAAAGAAAAAAAAAGAGAGATGGAATTTAAAATGTTCAGGTTTGGAGTCAGAAGATTTTGTTTTGAATCCAGGATCCACCTAGTGCCTCGGTGATCACTAACTAGTAATTTCTTCTTTGAAGCTCAGTTTTTAAATTTCTAAAATGGGGATAGTGGTTTTCACCTGAACAGGTTGTTGTAGGCATTAAAAACGATCCTATGAACCTAAAATGGTTATCATTGTACCCTCAATAAATAATTATTATTGTTTTTTATTACCTCAGCCCTCCCCTTCCTATCCTAGAGTGTCGAAATTCCGGTCCCACCCCTTCCTATCTAGTACCTCCACAGTCTAGCTAGTTTCGATTCCGCAGCCTGGTTGCGGGTTCTCGAAAATAAGCAGTTTCGGTCCTAGGCTAACTGAATTAATTGGATTCCCTCCCCTCGGAGTCACGGGGCGGGACTAACGTGAGCTTCTTCACCAATCACTGGAGCGGAAGGTGTGGTTTGGGCGCAGTTGGTCCCGCCCAGCAGGGAATACGGAGTTGTGGCGGCGCCAATGAGCTTGCGGCCTGGGGAAGGGCGTGGCTGAGTGGCCTTCAGAGCTGTGTTTGCGGGCGGAACCGTGAGCTCTTGTTTTGGCTGTGGACTCCAGTACGCTTTGGTGCGTCGGGTTCTAGACGCCTGCCGAAATCGTGGGCGGGGTGTGAAACCCTGGTATCTGAGCTTGGTTTAAGGACTGGAAGTCGCGCTCATAGCCACTGGAGGGAGCGGGTACCTCGACCCCAATAAGGTATCGGTGTTGAGAGGGTGTGCGGGGTAGGGGTGGAGGTGGGAGTTCTTCCCCTGGAAGGGCCAACCGACCTTAGGGGTTAAGCACGGGAGGAGACAGTTTCTGTCCACTGGTTAAAATAGGAGCTGTCAGCTGCTGAGTCCAGGATGTTCCCCTTCTGCCCAGCCTAACTACCCAAAAACCATAACGCCCCACCCCCGACCCCAAAATTCCCCTAAAGCCTCTGAGACTCGGAACATGGCATTGTAGCTCTGGTTCTGTCTTCCCCCAACCCAACATCCAAAGATTGGCATGATGTGTCATCTTTATTTATTATATAAAAAAGTCTGATGTACTGAAAAATGAAACTATTTGCTTAGGTTACATACAAAATCTATTTCAAAAAAGCTTGTTGAGTGCAAAACATGTGCCTAAGAGAGTGAGAGATAACTGGAGAAACAGTTATGTTGCAGCCCTTAACCTTAGTGTGCAATCCATTTGGGAAGACTAATTTCGTTTTATTAAAAAAAAATTTAAATCTCAATATTTACTTGCTGCCTTGCTTCTTTAACACTAGCCATTTAGAATTAAGTGGAAACTTGTCACATTTAAATTTTCTTTATCTTGTTTCTTAAAAGCAATACATTTACCTAATTCAAATTTTCAAGGGTAGAGGTTGTGACTCAAGTGGTAGAGTGCCTGTCTAGTAAGTGCAAGGCCCTGAGTTCAAACCTCAGAACTATCACCACCAAAACAAAAGAAAAAGGTTCAAGCATGGGACTGGGGATGTAACTCAGTAGTAGAGCACTTGCATAGCATAGGTGGAGTCCCAAAGCACTGAAAAAGAAAAAGTTGCTGAGCACCAATGGCTCACACCTGTAATCCTAGCTATTTGGAAGGCAGAGATCAGGAGGTTTGAGGTTTGAAGCCAGCTCAGGGAAATAGCTCTTGAAACCCTATCTCCAAAATACCCAACACAAAAAACAGTGCTGGTGGAGTAGCTCAAGTGGTAGAGTTCCTGCCTAGCAAGTGGGAGGCCATGAGTTCAAACCCCAGTACCACTGAGAAAAAAAAAAAATCAAAATCTGAGCTCTTCCTTGCTCCTACTTTTGGAGGTAGAAGGGCAGCTCATGTTAATTCATGCTTCTGGAAAAGACTCCCACCCTAACCATTTTTCTTTGTCCTGTAATAAAATCATATGTCCTTTTTAGAATACAGATGCGCATGTTCTTTTTGTTCCTTTAGGCCCAAGCTGCAACAGGATAAATTCTAATTTCCATTTTAGAATGTTAGGGAGAAACAGAATGCCCAGCTTACCTGCTTGATAACAGGCAGGAAACAGTGTTGTGTGAACTTTCTGGGTCTTCACAAAATTGATAATTCACTTGGAGAGTCAGAGATTATCAGAGGTCATAAAAAGTCAAATCTTAGGGATTCAGTGGCCTTTTGCAGAGCATTTAGACATTTTCTGGAATGGAGTTCCTCCTTCCTACATGGTGGGCAGTTTGTAGGATATACTTGCCTTCCAAGGTTTCAGCTCCTAAAAAAGCTTTAGAATCAGCAAAGGTTGTAAATATTCAAGACCAACACTGATCTTTACTCCAGCACAAACAAACACAAATCCAGATGAATTTAAAATAATCGGGAGAGATAGTGGAAATGTTATTTGTTAATTGGATGATGGTATGTGAACAGTCCTTACACTACTCATTCTACTATGTGTGTTTGAAAATTATCATTGAGGGGCCAGGAGTGTGGCTCAAGTGACAGAGCACAAGGCCCTGAGTTCAAACTCCAGTACCACCAAAAAAGAAAGAAAGAAAAAAAGGAAAATTACCATTAAAACTAAAAGTCCCATATTAAATATCACTCCCTTGAAGAATATGCACCAAACTCAAATAGTGGTTACTTTTGAAGAAGAACAGGGACTGAAGGACTGTTGGGGGTGGGAGAGTCAATGTAAGCTTTAGTATTTTCTGTATATTTTGCTTCTATAATTGAAAGTACTTTAAATTAGTAGTAATAAACAATCACAAAACTATGGGTGATTTAGGCCAACAAAATATCCAATTGTGAACCTTCGTCCTTTCAACTCAGAGCCCAAATGGCACAGTGGCTGATGCTGCAGAATCTTGACAGACCCTTTCTGGACCAGCTACACCATCTCTACTCACAAAGCCTCCTGCCAATGGATATTCGGCAGCACTTGGCTGCCTGGATTGAAGACCAGAACTGGTGAGGGCTTCAGGAGTTAGGGGGGTGAAGAAAGTGGTTCCTTTCTTCTGAGCTCCCAGAATCCTAGAGATAGCCTAGAAGGATTTGGACAGCCTTAGAAGCTGACTAAATGACTAATCCTTGTCATTCCTGGTTCCCAGGAAGGAAGCTGCACTAGGCAATGATAATTCCAAGGCCAACCTGCTGTTCTTCCACTTTCTGGACCAATTGAACTATGAATGTGGCCGCTGCAGCCAGGATCCTGATTGCTTGTTGCTACAACACAACTTGCGAAAATTCTACCGAGACCTTCAGGTACTTGAAGGAATTGGGAATTATAGGGTAGGATTGGCAACAGGGTGTAGAGTAAGGTTTAGGATATGGAACAGTACCAGGAGGTGCAAAGGGAGTAAGGCAGACCTGAGAAAAGGGTGACAGAGTCTAGACTTGGGTGATCACTGGCAAAGAGAAAGACTGAGTCTAGATGACACTATGGGGAAATACTGGAGACATTGGAGGGAGGGCTTAGGGTGGCACTTACTGAAGGTGGTTGAATTAGATCAATCTAATCTAAGTGTTTTCCTACTTAGGCCTTTCCCCAGGGTTCTACCCAGTTGGCTGAGATGATCTTTAATCTCCTTCTGGAAGAACAAAGAATTCTGAATCAGGCTCAGAGGGTTCAACTAGTGGTAAGAATAATTTGGTGGTGATATTGGAAGCTCCTGGAATAGAAAGGGACCATGGAAAGGACTCTGGAAATTTGTCTCCAAGCAGGATCCCCCTACATCCTACAGTGTAATTTCGGGCCTGAATTGTAGGGACGAAAGATCACTGTTGAAATGTGCTCAGAGTCTCTTATTTCAGGAGCAAGGCAAGCCAGATCTTGAAGCACCTGTGGAAAGCCAACAGCTTGAGATTGAATCCCGGATCCTGGATTTAAGAACTATGATGGAGGTTGGTCAATGTGCCAGTTATTGGGGTGAGTTTAGGCAGGGCTGAATCTTCCTTCTCCCTCAGAAGCAGCCTCATTGGGGTCCCATCCTCTTTACAGAAGCTGGTGAAATCTGTCAGGCAACTGAAAGACCTGCAGGATATCTTCAGCTTCCGATACACAATTCTTAACCAAGGTAGGAAGCACACAGAGGGGTGAGAGAAAGACATGTGCCTTCTGGGAGGCCAAACATGGAGAACAGTAGGGGAAATCTCCAGTGAGCAGTAGTGACTTTTGGCCACATATCACTAACTATAGTGTTACTGCTATGCAAAGCTAAAAGTGCCAGGGTATGTTGTGAAGGTTGGGTTGGAGGTGTAGTCGAGGGACAGCTAGTGACTATTGGAGGAAATGTGTAGAAAACTTCCTTAGCAGGTTGAGAGGGCTTCTGGTTCATTCAGGTTTTTGTCCAAGGACCCCCATGTGTCTGTGGTTGGTTTGGTTTTCCCTTATTCCTCCTCCAAAATTTCCCCTTCTTGACTCTGACTAAGTGAGACTTATGCCAGGTAAGAGAGGAAAAGGAACCCCTTGTCTAACTACTGCTCTTTCCATTCAGGGAAGACACCCTCTGGACACCCCCACTGGAGCAAAGAGCATCAGCTTGTGCAGAAAACTGCTAATGAATTGGACAAAAGGAGAAAGGTGGGAGGCAGAGGATGGAGGGAGTGGGCAGCAGGGAACTGAGAATACAGAGGGGTTTGGGGGCCCTGGGCCCTTAGCCTTGTGCTTTTTCTCCTCACCATCAGTTGGATGATAAAGGGTAATGCTAAGAGGTACTTAGCACTCACATTATCTCTCCTAGGAGGTACTGGATACCTCCAAAGCACTGGTAGGCCGGTTAACTACCCTAATCGACCTACTGCTGCCAAAGTTGGATGAGTGGAAAGCCCAGCAGCAAAAATCCTGTATTGGTGCCCCACTGGACCATGGGTTGGAACAGCTGGAGAAATGGTGAGAGAACATATATTTCCCCCAGTCCTCATGCACACTCCAACCCCAGTCCTAGCCACTCTTTGTATTTTGTAAGTTGTAGTTCCTGTATATAGCAAGTGATACTGTTCTTACTAGTCTCTGCTGCCCTTGTCTGGCTATAGCTATATTCTGCTTTTTATCCTTACAACTCAGGGAGCCCAGAACACAGTCTTTGCTTTGGTGAAAGTAATGGATTAATCAACAATCTGGTCTCTCCTTCCTCTTTTTTTTTTTTTCTTTTGTTGTTGTTTTTTTGAGATGGGGTCTTGCTCTGTTGCCCAGGCTGGTCTTAAATTCCCAGGCTCAAGTGATCCTCCCCATCTCATCCTGTAAAGTAGTTGGAGCTACAGATGTGCACCACTGCCCCCAGCCTTCTCTTCCTTTTTCAGTCATCCAAGAAACATCTTTAAAAACAAAGCTGCAATGAATACAGTACCAAAGAAGGAAGAGAAGGAAAGAGGGAAAAAGAGGGAGGGAGAGGATGAGTGTGAGCCAGGGATATAGCTCAGTGGTAGAGTCCTTGCCTAACATGTGTGAGACCCTGAGTTTGATCCCCAGCACAGCTTAAAAAAGAAGGGAAAAGACAATCATACTGTTCATACTATCTTGAAACCTGTGGGTATTTTTCTATACATAGCTCTATATATTTTGGTGTTACTAGCGTTTGCTTTCTGGGCAGGCATGTTACCATTTAAGCTATTGTGGGTATTTTTTTTGAAAACTTAGTAATATATTTACCCATTACTACTGATAATGGCTACATAATAGCTCTCTATATGTGGGTAACATAATTTAATGAACTATTTTGGGGCACTTAGGTTAATTTCAATGTCTTGTTATTTTTCCCAGTAAACTATTTTATACTAATTTAATTGTGATGTGGAAAAAATGACTAATATGTTCTTTAACATACTTGAAAATATTCTTTTAAATTCATTATAGACTAAATTTCAAAGACATGCCACTTTCTAGCAAGAGCAAAAGAATGAGATCCTAAATTCAATCCAAAGGCTGGATGCAGGTGTATACTTGTAATCTTAGCTACTTGGGAGGATCTCGGTTCGAGACCAAAAACACCAATTCTTTGTATGTTTATCTTCATTTCCTTAGGATATAGCCTAGAAACAGCATACTGCAAGAACTGGGAATGTAGCTCAGTAGAGCATTTTTCTTTTTTTGGTGGTACTGGGGCTTGAACTCAGGGCCTTGCACTTGCTAAGTAGGTGTTCTCATGTTCTCAGCATGAAGCCCTTGTTTTAACACTTGGCACCAAAAAAGAAATAGAATATTGTAAAACGTATGCACTTTATTTGAGGCTTTAAAAATGATAGTTCCACAGCCAGGCATGATGGTACATTCCCAGCACTCAGGTGGTGGAAGTAGGAGAATTGTGAGTTTGAGGACAGCCTGGAGTACATAGACTTTGTTAAAAAAAAACAAAACAAAAGCAGCCAGGCACTGGTGGCTCACACCTTTAATCCTAGGTACTCAGGAAGCAGAGATCAGGAGGATCATGGTTCAAAGCCAGCCAGGGCAAATAGTTTTTGAGACCCTATCTCAAAAAACCCTTCACAAAGATAGGACTGGCGGAGTGGCTCAAGGTAAAGGCCCTAAGTTCAAGCCCCAATACTGCCAAAAGAAGAAGAAGAAAAAAAAAAAAAGACTGAGTTTGTTGGCTGTAATCCCAGGTAGTTGGTAGGATCACAGTTCAAAGCTAGCCTGGGCAAAAAGTTAGTGAGCCCTCCATGTCAACAAACAAACTGGGTATAGTGTTACACATCTGTAATCTCAGGTACTCCAGAGGTTATTGGTAGGATTGTGGTCTGAGGCTGGCCCTGGCAAAAGCGTGAGACCCTATCTGAAAAGTAACTAAAATAAAAAGGGCTAGATGTGTGTCTCAAGTAGGACCTGAGTTCAAACCCCTGTACTTGCAAAGGGAAATAACAAACAAACATAAAATTAAAAAAAAAAAAATTCCAAACTGCCTCCCAAAAAATTTGTCCCAATATGGTTTCTCATATATAGTTTGTAATTGTTTTCCTGTGACTACATTGCTTATTATCATTTAGAGGCAGTAAAGTATGGTAGTTAAGATATGGGGTCAGGGGCTAGGGATGTGGCCAAAAGGTAGTGTGCTTGCCTATCATTTGCAAGTTCACGGATTGACCCCCAGCACTACCAAAAAAAAAAAGTTTGAGTTCTGTAGCCACACTGCCTGGGAACACACAAAAGCTTCATCTCACTGGGTACCAGTAGCTCACACCTGTAATCCTAGCTACTCAGGAGGCAGAGATCAGGAGGATCATAGTTCAAAGCCAGCCCTGGCAAATTGTTCCATGAGACCCTATCTCGAAAAAACCCTGTGCAAAAAAGGGCTGGTGGAGTGGCTCAAGGTGTAAGCCTTGAGTTCAAGCCCCAGTATGACAAAACAAACAAACAAACAAACAAAAGCTTTATCTCTGACTAGTTGAAGGGCCTTCAGCTAGTCACTTAACCTCTTCTGTGCTCCAGTTTTTTTTTTTTTTTTTTCTGGCAGTACTGGAGCTTAAACACAGGGCCTCATGCTTGCTAGACAAGCAGTCTACCACTTGAGCCACTCCAGCCCAGTTGTGAGGATGAAATGCATTATATTAGTATGTATAAAACATGAAGTATAAATCATACATAGCAAGCAGTCTATTAAAGTTAACTGTCATTATGTTAATAAACCTTTTATCACTGAAAATGGCTTTGATTTTCATCTCTTGGATTATGAATCATGTTGGAAAATCTGTTATATGCTTCTTTTTCTTCTTTTTGCTTTTTAACTGCAGTTAGTTTCTGACTTTCTATATAGCTAAAGGAGAGCCCTCAGAACCACGATAGAGGCTCAGGGGACTCATGGTTTCCCTCTCTGGATTTTGTCACCCAGGTTTACAGAAGCAGCAAAGCTGTTGTTTCATCTGCGGCAGTTTCTTAAGCAGCTAAAGGAATTGAATCGCATGGTTAAATATGAGGGTGATCCTTTTAAAAAGGGGGTGGACCTGCAGAAGGCCCAAGTCACAGAATTGCTACAGCGTCTCCTCCACAGGTCTGGTGTCCAGGGAGGTGCCTGGGGGAGAGGAGGTGTAAGAAATCAGAGGGAACATTCTTAGAGAACTGAGCTATGTATTCTATCTACACCTCTCTCTCTTTCCAGAGCCTTTGTGGTTGAAAAGCAGCCCTGCATGCCCCAAACTCCCCATCGACCCCTTATTCTCAAGACGGGGAGCAAGTTCACTGTCCAAACAAGGTTGGCATTTCAGAACTCTTGCTTCCTTTTTCCTGCCCTTCACTGTGCTTTTTCTGGCTTTACAGATCTTCCTGCTGTTTTCCTTTTCTTCTCTCTTTCCCCTTGACTCACCTATGTCCTCTAATCCTTTCCCATATGTTTTTTTCAAGCATCTGGCATATTCATAAGGTTGAGATTGACCACTTTATCCCACCCATCTCCTATCCTTCCAGGCTGCTGGTGAGACTCCAGGAAGGCAATAAATCTCTGATGGCGGAAGTCTCCATTGACAAGTCAGTTGGGACATGTGAAGGGTATGAAGGAGTGGCCAGGACATGTGCTGTTGGGGTGGAAGGGTACTCAGTCTCAGTCATGGAACTGTCTTCTTCCCCCTTCTGTTCCTACCTTACAGAAATAATAACTCCCCTCTCTTGAGCACTTACTATTTGGCATTGGTATGTCAAGTACTCAGACAATTTTAAGAGCAACCCATGAGTGAGGTATTACCAACATACTATGCAAGCAAGGAAACAAACTCACTGGGACTCAGTCTCATCTTTAAGGCCATATAGCTAGTGAGCTGCATGCAGGTTTGAACTCAGGTCTAGACTGCCTTCCTAATGTCTATCCTCTTGCACCTTGCAATGATTTTTTTTTTTTTTTTGTATTTCTTTTCAGGAATCCTCCTCAGTCACAAGGGTAGGTGCCTGACAAGGACACTTTGAAATGCTTGTGCACTGCGCTGCATGCGTGACCTGCACAACCACATTTGGCAGCCTTGGTGGGAGCACAAAAAGGAGGGAGGGAATTTGGGACATGAACAAAGGGTAGGTCTGAAATGAAGTGGAATTTTTTTTTTTTGGCAGTACTGGGGTTTGAACTCAGGGTGCTCTATCACTTAAGTCACACCCTAGCCCCCTGCTGAGTTTTTTTTTTTTATTTATTTTTTATTTTTCTCCCTCCTGCCCCCATCCCCCCTGCTGAGTTTTAAAAATAACTCTGCTCTTTCCATGTATCCTCCTATCTCCTGGAACAGCTTCCGGAAGTTCAACATTCTGACCTCAAACCAGAAAACTTTGACTCCGGAGAAGGGACAGAGGCAGGGCTTAATTTGGGATTTTGGCTTCTTGGTAAGAAAAACCAGTAACTTGAGCTTGTGTTCCAAAGGAACAAGGGAAGAGGAAGCTTTTGGCAACACAGGGACCCCAGTCTAGCATTTTTTTTCCTTACTCTCAATTCATAGACGCTGGTGGAGCAACGTTCTTCTGGTTTCGGAAAGGGCATCAATAAGGTAAGGCCGGCAACTTGCCAAAGCCATAAGTAAGGCTGGGGACTTGCCAAAGGACCCTCTTACCATGTCTCTGATCATTACAGGGGCCAATGTCTGTGACAGAGGAATTGCACATAATCAGCTTCACAGTTGAATATGTCTACCAGGGTCTGAAGATGGAGCTGAAAGTGAGTAAAGAAAAGCAGGGAAAGATGAAACAGATTTGGAAGAAGTCATGGGGAGGGATAAATGGAAGCCTCTCAGAATATCACCCCCTGCCCCTACCAACTGTCTTCTACTAAAAGCATCACATCCCTGGCTCCTGTCTTCTCCCCAGACCGACACTCTCCCTGTGGTGATTATTTCTAACATGAACCAACTCTCCATTGCCTGGGCCTCCATTCTCTGGTTCAATCTGCTCAGCCCAAACCCCCAGGTAGGAGAGGACGGGTAGAGGGAAGGGTGTGTGGAAGCTTGGTGGGAAGGGCTGCCTCTAAGCCATTCTGCCCTCCTCCCATTCCTGCAGAACCAGCAGTTCTTCTCCAATCCCCCGGATGCTCCCTGGAGTTTGCTGGGCCCTGCTCTCAGTTGGCAGTTCTCTTCCTATGTTGACCGAGGCCTCAATCCAGAGCAGCTGGGCATGCTGAGGGACAAGCTCTTTGGTACACATCTCCTCCTTTTCTCTCAGGCTTTCCCTAGACTTAGTCTGCCCCTGCCCTGTATCTTTATATATCCCAGGAAGCCTACCTGGCCTTGCCTTCTTCAGTCATCTGAACCATTTGTGGCTATCTGTCCCCCAGGACCGAACTGTAGAATGGAGGATGCATTGTTGTCCTGGACTGACTTCAGTAAGGTAATTCATGGCATCCTGTATAGCTAGATCTAGCCCCCAATCCCAATATTGGCCCTTCCCCCATCATTCCTTCCTCACACCAGCGGAAACTCCACATCTCTTCCCACCTTCCCACTCCTCTTCCAGCGAGAGAGCCCCCCTGGCAAGATACCATTCTGGACATGGCTGGACAAAATTCTGGAGCTGGTGCATGACCACCTGAAGGATCTCTGGACTGATGGGTAAAGTGTTGGTCAGCCTTCCCATCCTCATGGTTTATTCTAGACTCAGGAGTGGACTCTGTGCACCCAATGTGGCAAATAGGGAGAGAGCAAAAACCTGTGCAAGATCACATTTGTTATAGTAGCTGTGGTCAGCATTGGTCAAGTCTCTATGTGTTTCAGAGCCTGTTGGGTGCTTTCATGAATTCTCTCATTTAATCCTAACAACCAGGAACTGGGGATGTAGCTCAGTGGTAGAGAACTTCCCTAGTAGAAACCCTGAGTTCAATTTCTAGCACAGCAAAAATAAATAAAAATAAAAACTCCTGCCAGGCACCAGTGGCTTATGCCTATAATCCTAGCTACTCAGGAGGCAGAGATCAGGAAGATTGTGGTTCAAAGCCAACCCAGGCAAATAGTTCATGAGACCCTATCTCAGAAAAACCCATCACAAAAAAGGGCTGGTGGAGTGGCTCAAGGTACAGACCTTGAGTTCAAGCTCCAGGTACACAAAAAAAGAGAAAAAAAAAAAAAACAGCTCTTTGGGTTGTGGGCATGGCTCAAGTGGCAGAGTGCCTGCCTAGCAAGTATAAGGCCCTGAATTCAAACCCCAATACTGCTCCCCTATCAAAAAAAGGAAAAGAAAAAGAAAAACAAATTGCATAATTCTTATAACTGTTCTGAATGGTGGGTGTTGCCAACTTCATTTCATTTCAAGTGAGAAAACCCAAGTCTTAAAGAAGTTAAGGAACTTACCTAAGGGACAGGGCTGGGATTTAAACCCAGGCCTATGTAACTCCAAGGTTGTGTTTTCTTCATCATGTGGCCTGAGGATATACACATCGATACAAGTTGTTTTTTATTTGTGTGGTGTCACTGAATCCTCCCACTTCTTCAAACCAGGAGGGGACAAATATTGTCACTAAAGTGAGCTTAGCCAAGATAGAAAAGTTTGTAAGTAACAGAGATGGGGCCAAAACCTGACACTCATTTCCATACAAGAGGAATAGGGATCAGTGGGGTCTCAAAACTGCTCTCTCTGCATTAGACGCATCATGGGCTTTGTGAGTCGGAGCCAGGAGCGCCGGCTGCTGAAGAAGACCATCTCTGGCACCTTTCTACTGCGCTTCAGTGAATCTTCAGAAGGGGGAATTACCTGCTCCTGGGTGGAGCACCAGGAAGATGGTCAGCTACTGTGCCCTGCCATTCCCACAGCCTGTGCTTTCCTCTTGGCTCACTTTCTGCCCCTCTGCCTGCCCTTGGCTATCCCAGCTTCCTGGGCTTTGTCCTGAGTCCTGCAGTAGCTTTGGGGTTGCACAGCCATGGTAGAGAGCTTCAGGGCCAACCTCTACTCTCTAGCTTATCTGTTCCTACATCTACTCTCCAGATAAGGTACTCATCTGCTCTGTGCAGCCTTACACCAAGGAGGTGCTGCAGTCACTCCCACTGACAGAAATCATCCGCCACTACCAGCTACTTACTGAGGAGAACATCCCAGAGAACCCATTGCGCTTCCTCTATCCCCGAATCCCCCGTGATGAGGCGTTTGGGCGCTACTATCGGGAAAAAGGTGAGTTTCCTTGACATACTTCGTTGCTAGATTGCAAGGATCTCCAGATGTCTATAAATCCAACACCTTCATTTCAAACACAGAAACAGTGATATCTAGAGAAGCTAAGTGATTTGTCCACTGGACATACTAGTCAGTGGGGAGATGGGATTGTCAGGACTATCTGCACTAGGGGAGCCTTGGGCTATGTGTCTAACACAATATCCCTCACCTCCTGTGTATGTCCCCACAGTTAATCTCGAAGAACAGAGGAAGTATCTGAAGCATAGGCTCATTGTAGTCTCTAACAGGTGAGACATGAACTCTTCACCTATCCTCCTCAGTCTTTTTTGCCTGATACAGTAACTTTACCTCCCCAATTCCAGTCCCTCCAGCCTTCCATTCTTACTGGCCCTCTAGCTTTTTTGTTTTAATCTCCCTCCTCTCTTATTTTCCTGCTGCCATACTGAGGTTGTTTCCAGTGGGGCTCCCCATTAATAATGATTGTAATCGGTGGTTTTTATGGGCACCTATCTGATGCCAAACATGGTACAAAATTTTCTAAAAGCATTTTTTCCATTTAATCCTTATGAAGATGCATTGTGGTAGGTAATAATAATGGCCATATTTATTTTTTATTGCCAGGCACTGGGCTAAATGCTTTGGTTTTTTTCTCATTTTGTTGAATCTTCACAGTTGTCCTGTGAGGTAGTCACTGTCACTGTCTTGGGCTGAGGTTTAGTGTGGTAGGTACCTGATGAATAAATGATCCAGTTTGTCAGACTCTAAAGACCTGCTTTTTAAAATAAGTTTTTTTTTTTTTTTTTTTTTTTTTTTAGGGCTAGGGCATGGCTCAAGTGGAAGAGTACCTGCCTTGCAAGCATAAGGCCCTGAGTTCAAACCCCAGGAGTGCCAAAATAATAATAATTTTTTATTTTTAGTTGACACATATTTTGGGATACAGTGTAATAATTTGATACATGTACACAGTATATTGATCCAAGTATGGTAATTAGCATTTGTAAATATTGCTGCAACAAACATGGAAATGTGGATATTATTTTGATATACTTATCTCATTTCCTTTGGAAATATACCCAGTAGTCATCTGGATCATATGGTAGTTCTATTTTTGGTTTCTTGAGGAACCTTCATACTGTTTCAGAGTGGAGAGTCTATAATAATGGCTATACTAATTTACAGTCCCATCAAGAGTATACAACAGTTCCCCTTTCTCCACATGCTCACCAGCATTTGTTATTTTGTGTCTATGATTATAGTTTTTAATTATATTAATTATGATTAGCTACTTATAATTCTCACTGGTGTGAGATGATGTCCCATTGTGGTTTTGATTTGTATTTCCCTAATGATTACTTACGCTGAGAATTTTTTCATATACTTCCTGGCCATTTGTATGCATTGTTTTGAGAAATGTCTCTTTTGGTCTTTGGTTCAAGTATGCAGGATGGCACACACTTGTAATCAGGAGACTGAGGCAGGAAGGTCTCAAGTTCCAGTCTAGCATGGGCTACATAGGGAAACCCTGGGTCAAAAAAAAACAAAAACAAAAAATGCACAAATTTTTGGTCCATTTTGTTTTATTTTATTTTGGTGGTATTGAGGATTGAACTCAGGGCCTCATGCAAGCAGTACACTATTTGAGCCAGACTCCTAGTCCTTTGGTCCATTTTTTTTTTTTTTTGTGGGACTGAGGTTTGAACTCAGGGCTTCACGCTTACAAAGCAGGTGCTCTACCTGCTTTGAGGACTAGCCACGTCTCTAGTCCATTTTGCTTTGGTTATTTTGGAGATGGGATTTCATGAACTGTTTGCCCAGGCTGGCCAGGAACCTCCATCTTCCCCTTCTCAGCCTCCCATGCTGGTGGCATGAGTCACCAGCACCCAGCTCCTTTGATCCATTTTAAAGTCAGATTATTTGCTTTTTTGCTATTGAGTTTTTGAGTTCCTTATATAACTTGGATATTAATCCCTTGATGAATTGTTTGCATATATTTTCTCCCCCCTATTCTGCAGGTTGTCCATTAACTGTTGCTTTTTTTGTTTTGCTATATTGGAGTTTGAACTCAGGGCTTCATGCTTACTAGGCAAGTGCTTTACCACTTGAATCACTCTACCAGCCCTTTTTTGTGTTGGATATTTTTGAGATAGGGTCTTGTGAACTATTTGCTCAAGCTAACCTCATATTGCAATCCTGTCAATCTCAGCCTCCCGAGTAGTTAGGATTACAGGCGTGAGTCGCCAGTACCCACCCAGCCTGTAGTATGTTTTGAGGTCTGGTGTTTTATGCCTCTAGTCCAGCTTTTGTTCTTCTTGCTCAGGATTTCATGATCAGCTATTTGGGGTCTTTTGTGGTTCCATATGAATTTTATGATTTTTCTACTTCTGGAAAGAATGTCATTGGTTTTTGGGGAGTGGAAATTGAACTAAGGGCCCCAGGTTTGCTAGGTAGGTGCTCTACCAGTTGAGCCACACCCCCAGTCTTTTTACTTTTAATTTGTTTTTCATTCTGTGCAAAGACTTTTGCTAACTTTGCCTGGGCTGGCCTCAAACCCTGATCCTCCTACCTTTACCTCCTGAGTAGCTGGGATTACAGTCATGTACCACCATGACTATGGGTATTTTGATGGGGTTGCATTAAATCTGCAAATCACTTTGGGTAGTATCCAAAACCCTGCTTTTAACCCTCCTATCAACTCTCAAGAATTATTATGTACTGTGGTTCCTATCTACAAATGATAATTCTGAGCCTCAGAAAGGTTAAGTAATTTGCCTACGGTCACTCTGCTAGTAAATGAGAGGATTCAAACTTTAGCAAGCCTAATTCCAAAGACCATACTTTCCACCTCTCTGCCCCGCTGCCTTCTTGGACTGGAGAGATAGCCTCTGCTTGCTGTACCATACCCCGCTTCTCCTCATCCACTGAGCCCTGTCCCTTCATCTCTCTTGGTATATCTAGACAGGTGGATGAGCTGCAACAACCACTGGAACTTGAACTGAAGCCAGAACTGGAGCCATTAAATTTGGAGTCAGGGCTGGCACCAGAGCCAGAGCTAGGGCTGGACCTGGAGTTAGGACCATTGCTGGAGGCAAGGCTGGACCTGGGTGCAGAGCTGGAGCACAAGCTGGAGCCCTTGCCAGAGCCCAAACTAGACCTGGTCTTACAAAGAATGCCAGAACCAGACCTGAGACCTGTATTACAGCCAGTGCTGGAGCCAGATTTGCCCTGTGACCTGCGACACTTGGATACTGAGGGAATGGAAAGTAAGTGGTGGGACAGGACTAGGGAACAGGGTACACTCCCTTTCCTAGTTCTCTTCCCTCACCTATTACAGAAAGGGCGAACTACAGGCTCCTCATTAGAGAGAAGTTTCTTTCCTTTCCTTTCTCTAGGAAATACACATGCCTCCCCTTACCTACCCTGTTCGTCCAGTCCCGAAGGCTCCCCTCAGGGCCATTCCTGCCATGCTCCCTCACTTTCCCTGCTGGGTTGGGAACTCCCAACTTAGATCAGGGTCTAACATTTCTCTCTTCATTACCTAGTCTTCAGAAACTGTATAAAGATTGATGATATCATGCCACATGGTGACCCGCTGTTGGCTGGCCAGAACACGATGGATGAGGCTTACATCTCCTGCCCCAGCCATTTCGACACAGATGAACCCTTGATTACTTCTGATTACTAGGACTACATTTCTTGTTATTTCTATATCTTTTGCCCCTCTTTCCTCCCCCATCATGATGGTGCTCTCCAAGGATGGAAATCAGACATTCTAAGGTAGATTAACCATGAGGTTGAGAGTGAGAAGTGAAAGCACAATATGGGTATGAAAGGGGCACCAAAGACTCAGAACAGATGCTAGCCATAGTTCTGAATAGGATCCCGGAGGCTGTCTGCTCTCTTGGGAGGTATAGGGGTCCTAAGGGTAGGCCAGGACGGTTGGGAGGTTCTTGAAGGGCCCAGGGCAGTAGCTTCTTTTCAGTATGAAAGGATTTCAATATTTTAATAGTTGGTAGGGTGGGGAGCACAGACACAAGATAGAATTCCGTATTTCTCTGTGTCCCTCTCCCTCTCCTTTCCCCCTTTCTCCCCTCCTCACTTTTGTCTCTTTCTCTTTTTTTTGTCTCTCTGCTGGGTATTATCAAACCCAGGGCAAGTGCTCTTACCACTGAGCTATACCCCTAGCCCTTCATTTCTTTCTCTGGTTCCTTCATGTCTAGTATAACCTTTTTCTTTCTTCTTCCCTTCACTCCATTCCTAACTCCAGTCCTAAATTTCTTCTTTTCATTTAGGGACTGAGCACTTTCTGTCTTAGCCCACCATGTGAAGCTCTGCCCTGAGGAAGGGTGTAGGAGATAGAACTCTTTTTTCCAGTCTCCTGCTCTTCTCTGCCCCATAAACTGCCTACATCCATTCCTTATAAAATAATCCTGCCACTATAATGTGGCAGCAAAACTTTGCACGCTACTTTAGGCTGCTTAGTCTCCACCTCCCCAGGCTTAAGAGACAAAGCACTCCTGGAGGCTGGGGTGGAGGGTTACTGGGAATTTGAGAATTGCTTTTTTTATAGTATTAGGTAGAATTTGGTGTTTTTATAAGAGAAAGAAAAGCACTGGGTCTTAGCTAGTTTACTAATAAGATATCATCCCTTCTTTTGTACAATACATTGTTTACCTGAAAAGAAGATTTTTCTATTCCTTGAGTGTGGGCCAAATTCTTGAAGGCTTCTGATAAGGCTCTGGGCATTCTCATACCTTAGCCATTCCTGGGGATCCCTAAGGGCAACTGCCATTGCTCTAAGGTGTGTTTCTATGTAACTTGAGATGTAAACAAAAGTTAGGCCCTGCACATGTGGCTGTTCAGTCCTGTTCAGAAATGGGCCTTTTTGAGCATAAGTGACTAATAAACTTTGTGCTGACCTGGAAGTATCTTATCTCAGAATTTCTTTACTTCTCTGCTCACAAATACTAATGTCCTTAAGGACATCAACATCAAATCATGGCCTCTCTTCCACCTGCTCTACTGTGCTCTGCCTGCCATGTTTCTTCTTCCCTCCCTATTTGGAGCAGTCCTTTCTGCCCCTTAGACTGTTGGGTGGGGGAGGTAATTACATAATTGTCACTCAGTGGGTTGGTGTTAAAGCCAAGACATAAAAACCCAGATCTGTCTGATTCCAAGCCTTCCTCTCTCTGTTTTTTTTTTTTTGCAGTACTGGGGTTTGAACTTAGGGCCTACACCTTGAGCCACTCCACCAGCCCTTTTTTTGTGATGGGTTTTTTTCAAGATAAGGACTGGCTTCAAACTGCAATCCTTCTGATCTCTGCCTCCTGAGTAGCTAGGATTATACAGGCATGAGCCACCATGCCCTGCTATCTTTGGTTTTTGAGACAGAGTCTTGTTAAGTAGCCCAGGCTGGCCTAAAACTCACAATCCTCCTGTCTTTACTGGGATTACAGAGATGCATCACCACACTCAGCAAAGTCCACACTTTTTTGAGATAAGCAAAGGAAATAATCACTAGCCACCCCCCCACCGCCGACTTTTTTTTCCCCAAAGATAGTTTAACTCCCCAAGATGTTCTTTAAGGAGAATTCCATTGCCTTGGGGGATTTACCTTTATCTCCCTGGAATGCCCTTCCTGCCCCACACTGAGCTCTGGTTCTTGCTTGAACAGCACATATACTAAAGTTGGAACGATAGAGAAGAAAACTGACTCTTGACTTTTGATCTCTCAGTGATCAGAGCACCTGTCTTTGACCAGATATACTCTTGGCCAAGAAATCAGGGAAGGAGGCAATGGATCAGGGAGCAAGTGACCCTAAAGTATGCCCCCCACTTCCTAATCTCAACTCATTGTAATCCCATTCTGCTTGCTCAACCATCTAAGGATTGATATCACAAAAACCTGTTGTGCCAAGGAGTCATAGAAAATACCACTCTTCACCATAGCTATTCAGAGTATAAGAAAGGGGTATATGTTCTAATCCCTGAGTCCTGCTTTACTACCTGTTTTTCCCACCTGAGCCTAGAAATTAAACTAAGAGAGCCACATAAATAAGTCTTTATTGAAAAAATATATAATTCCTTATAAATATAATAAATAATCCTCTCTAGACTTCTGTCATGAGGATAAATAATACCAAAATTTCTCTACCCACCTAATAAATAAGCAACTTTGTCACAGATCAACATCATAAGTCAGTCAGTACTGGTAATTTTTCAACATGCAAATCTTTTAGAATTAATGGACTAATTAACGTGGCTCTTAGCTGTCTGGGCTGATAGATGCATCTTGTCATTGCTGAACCTTGGAGATGTGGGTGTCATCTTTAAGCTGTTGGCTTTAGGGGCTCAGGGTTGCTGCTCCATGGGCAAAGACCCGGGCAGCTACAGCTACAAAGGACTGGAGGCTGCGAAGGATCTTGAAGCGGAGAAGGAGGCGCTGCCATGGCTGGCTTGGAGTAGGGCTGGGAGTCTCTTGAATCTCCCAGGACTGACCCTCAGGCTAAAAGGACACAAGGCATAGTTAGAAAGGATGCTAGATTCTTAGTTCCCAACCTCTGTCTCTGACACTGCCTAACTCCCCATCCTCCAGGCCCCAGGTTCATACCTGCAGGAGTTGGCTGAGGCCCACTAGGGAGGCATGAAGCTGGCCCACGGGGCCATCAGGGAGTAGAGAAGGTTCCCCTGTGAAAATGTCTGAGCCCAGCAGCTTCTCATAAAAAATCAGACCCTGGTGGATCCTTTGCAAGCAGAACTAGGGAGAGAAGAAAACAATTTAAAAATATAGACACTTCTTACTCAGTTCACTTAAGATCCTCTCAGGTCTTTATCATTCTCAGACACAACTTCTAGTTCACCATAAGACCCAGTCCTCTCTCCCTTATGGCCCAGCGTCATCCTTAGTAGTACCTGACTGTTGTCCCTGAGTCCTTGGGGATCACAGCCATCCTCACACTGGATATGGGGAACATCATTTGTAGTTTCCTCATCTCCCTCTTCTCTTAGTAGATCCTGGAATGGAGCAGGGGGATGGAGAAAATGAAGTAAGTACTTTTGAATCCCACTGGACTCTGAGGCCCATGACTCTCCCAGCAATCTCAGTCTCTGTCCTCTCATTCCCTGATGGCATTCAACAGTAGCTTTCACCAGAGCCTGAAGCCTTAGAGGGCTTGGAGAGATTCCTGTTTGGTCCCAGGGGTTGAACTCACCATATGTCCCACTGACGGATGTGCATTCCAGACCAGCAAGCAGAGCTTCTGTGAAAGCTGCTGACACTGATCCCAGGCAGGGTTGCTGCTCCCAGGCACAGCCCGGCCCTGAGCAGTCCAGGGAAGCAGCAATAGCAGCACCACAGCTCTGCTCCCCAGCATCTTGTTGCCTGTTTCTTAAATCTGGCTGCTTCTGCGACCTGCACCAGTTCTTGTGGAATCTCTGCCTACTTCCCTTTGCTCTGAGCCTGATTCTCTGGTTCTCGTTCTCTCTGTTGTTCTCTCTGTTCTGTGCTGCTTCTTGTTTTTCTCTTTGTCTCTGAGTCTCTTTTTAAGGTCCCTGCATTTTAAGGCCCGCCCTACATTAGCAGGTGACTCATACCAGGTGGGATTCCCCTCCCTGCATCATCTCCCTCTGTGGAGAGCCCAGGTATATGGCCTCAGTTCCAGGGGAAATGAGTAGTGAGGTTGCTGTGGCTAGAGGCCTAGGATGGGACACATGTGTGTAATGCTCTCCAGGAATTGAAATGGCTGTAGAAGGCAGGGAAGTTAACGAATATTTAAATTAGTCTGGTCTCAAATTCCTTCCTGTTTAATCTGTTTCAGATCTTTTTGCCTCTCAAAGCTTTATCCTTACTCCACCCTAATCTAATTTCCTCACTTCCTCTTGCCTGAGGAAAAACCAAAACAGAAATAGTCATTCATCTTCCAATAGGATGGTGAGCTCCGTTTGAAATGAAGTTTGGTTCCTACTTGATGTTTGCTATCTAAGAATAAGGGGTTTCTTTTTCTCCATTGGAAACAGTGTTATTTTCACTGGGTGGCCCTGGTTTCATAGGAGAGAACGGACACACAAAGGTAATTTGTGACCTGGGAAGCCATATAAGGACAGTGTAAGGTATTATTGCTCCACTTCAGGTCTCACTATGGACAGCACTTTGGGAAAAGCCACCTGATTTTTCAACCCACTTAGTGGCTCACGATACATGGGTTTTGTGGGATTGAGATGATGATTTTTTTCCAGCATACTGTAAGCATGGACTGGAATTCTACCTCAGACACTCCAGCCTTCAGCCCCTACCCCATGGTTAGAAAAGTCCAGTTCTGTGTGGTTGAAGGTACACAGTGACAATGACCCTGGCTGGTCCTTCAGTTTGTTGCATACACGGGTAAAATCCACTGACGCTGATTTGCTGATTTCATCACCCTCCCTGATGCAACACCCAGGGAAACAGCTGAGTGTGAGCTTGGGTGTGGGAGTGGAGGGTGGTCTGAAGCTGGGACAGCCCCAGCCCCAGTGGAGGGTCCCAGAACAATCTGGACGTCAGAATGAGGCCATAGGTGATCACACAGCTGGCTCTCAAAGCCTCCCTAAGTTGACTCTTTTTCTCTGAGAAACTTGCCCTCAATAGAATTATGTAACTTCTGGTTCAAATATTATAATTCTGTGGGAAGTCCACCCTTTGGATGAAGCATTCTGGCATCTAAGAATTAGCTCAGTTTGGGGGAGAAATGGTTTGCCCTTCTATATATACAGTGGACATAAATGGAATAAAGAAATTGGAAGGAGGAGGACAGGAGAGTTTATCTTACTTTGTACAGTGCCTCCTATACTCTTCTCACTTTTTGTCCCCATACCTGGAGTCCTAAAAGATAGGAAATGAGCTGGTGGTGTGGCTCAAGTAGTAGAGCACCTGCCTAGCAAACTCAAAGCCCTGAGTTCAAACTTCAGCACAGCCAAACAAACAAAAGGAGATGAAAGGTGAAGAGGAAAGGAAGTAGAGCCGTGGGGAATGGGATGACAGGATTAAGGGTGAGGTGGAAGCACAGGCCTCTGCCTCTCTTTCACTTCCTGATGCTGTAGCAGTTGGGTAGGAAGCAAGGTTGGTGGGACAGTTGTGGGACTGTTGTGTAGCAGGAACTACTTCCACGTCTGACCTGGAGCGCTAAGAAGTCCTTGACTGACGTCAGCTGGACCTCACCGTTATGCAAATTCACAAGACACTCCTGGGCAGGCCTTTCCAGTTGAGTGCTCAGATTCCAAATCCAGTTAAAAGTTCTCCCAGGTGGTTAATAACAATTGCTAATAATGATGGCTAACATATATCCAACTCTCACTTTCCGCCAAGTCTAAGCACTTTACACATTTTTAACCCATTTAATTCTCACAATGAGGTAGGTACTAATGAAACCAGAGTTTTGGACCCAAGGCCTAAACTCCTGAGATTCCATATGTCAGGTCCAGCCATCCTCTCCTAAATGACAAATAAAAAGGCATGATGAAAAGGGAGAGAAAGGAAGTTTATTATGTGGCTTGGGACATGCCTTGGGAAGAGACAGAGGAAGCACTCAGCTCAACCTCAGCCATTTTCCAGGGTACAGACATGGGCTATAGGTTTAAAATAGACAAAAGAACTGAGGGCAGGGGCCAAAGATATGCATAGTTAAGACTTGTGGAGCCCACAATCTTGGTAAGGCAGGTGGTCTGGTCCAGTTTTGGGAAGTTATCACCTGGAGGGAGTAAGCTGATTCCTGTTTGAGAGGATTACTCTGGTTTGGGATGTGAATTGTTCTCACTGGGAGGGTGAGTTCCAGGTGGCTCTGGTTCCTTGTCATAAAGATATTATCGGTTCTGTCTTTTCTGGAATCCAAGGTGATTGCAAAGTGACTGTAAAGAGAATGGCTTAGAGCAAAGACATACAAAATGGAGGCAGGGATGCCAAGCTTCTCCTGTTTTTAGTTCATTTGTAAGCCCAAGTAAGAAGTCAGTGCTCTTCAACAAAAACAATATGAGTGCCTTTTACACTAATTACTATCCCCATATTACAAGAGATGGAGGTAAAGAGGTTAAGTAATTTGCCAGAGACCACAGAGTTACAAAGTGCCTGGAAATGCACTGCAGACAATCTGGCTTCAGATTCTGGACTTTTTTTAGGGGGTTGGAGGGGGGCAGCATTGAGACAAAGTCTCACTGTTGTAGCCCAGGTTGGCCTTGACCTTTCTATCCTTCCGATTCAAGCAGTAATTCATGCTTGGATTACCAGCATGTACCACACCTTCCTCAGATTTTATATTTTTAATCACTGGATTATAGTGGAGATAATGAGGAGACTCAAGTGTGCCTTAATTTATAAAGTAGCCTATTTAGGCCAGTATGTCAGACTCTGTAACTCTCATGGGTCTGTGAAGTCTTTCTCAATTATGAGTCTTCAATATGGAAATTTCTAAGTTTAGGTCTCTTAGCACCTACCTTTTTCAGAGATTTTTAAGTCTAAGGACCTAGGAAAAATCACATCAGTTTGAGAGACCCTCTGGGTTAAGGTCTTTTTCTCTTAGTCTAGGACCTCTGAGTCTGGGAAATCTGAAATCCTGTCCTTTCCCTTCTTACCTTTGTTGGTGCTGGGGAATCGAACCCAACGTCTTACGTATGCTAGATGAACACTCTACCACTGGGCTGTAGCCGGTGAGGAATTTCTTCCACAGGAGTTCTTTTATATGTCCTTTAGAAACAGTAATGACAGCTGAATTTAAGTGCCCCATACACCTCGCAATGTAGATCCATCCCAAAGCAATCTAAGCTCACAGTTGGGCCCCAAGAAACCTCCAGAATGACTGTTCTTCTTAAATGTCTCTATTTACTGTACTCATCTCTTCTGAGGAATAACGGCCAGTTCCACCAGCGAGGGGAATTTGATAGCCAGGGGGTCGTGTTCCCTGGGAATATTACAAGAGGCCTCTCGGAGGGGACCCCACAGATGGGAATTTCAGATGGATGCCTTTAGAATCGTAGAAAATGTGGCCACTTGAGCCGAGTCAGTAGTCAAGACTCCCGCTTCCTTTTTCTCTCCCATATCTAGAAATCATAGGAAATGTCAGCGAGTTTCGGGGACACAGGGTCAGAGGTGGCGGGGTGGCTCACAGGAGCACCGCCGGCCGGGAAAGGGGGTGACTAGGCCACACTGGGAAGTTACAGAGAGCCTGAAAGTTAGGTTTCCAAGATTTAGGACTAATTTTGTTTAAGACAAAAAAAAAGGGGGTTACTTTTTACAACACCAACTAAATCCGCGTTTGTCCCTGTCGGCGCCCCGTAACCTTGTTTTTGCCTAGCTCTTGCGTCACACGCCTTTTCCCAGTGCCTGTACCTGGCTCCTTCTGATTGGTTTAGACGCTCCCCAAACTCTTGCTGATTGGATGCGGCGCCTGGCAATTCGACGTCCCCCTCACCATAGGTTAGGTTGAGCTACAGGCGCGGGGGAGAACTGGGGAAACTGGAATTCCCGCGGAGCTGACGGCGCTTGCTCTCCCCCTACTTGTTTTAACTCCACGCGCTCCAAAATATCCGCCATGGAGAAATCTTGGTAATGACCCATCCCCCGTAAGCATCCCAGGAACACATCTGACCCTTGCCCGAATCCCTCCCTTCCCCGCCACTGGGGGAGAATTCTGGGTAACCAATTTCTCTGGTTACACCAGAGAATTCTGGGTAACTCTGTTTTCATCACCTTTCCCTTACCTCTTGAATGGTGACTGGCCCTTGTGTTACTCTCCCCCACCAGAATCCTGGGTAATTCTTGTAGAGTATTCTGGGAAACTGACTTCCCTTCTTCTCACTGCCCAATCCCTTCCACCCCCAGTTCTAGGAAACAATTACCTCAACTCTCTCCAACCTCCTCAACCCGCCCTAATACCTCCTTCCTTTACCTGGTGGTTCATGGTTGAACCAGGCAAATGAGCAGGAGAAAGGGAAGCCAAGGATTAGGTTAGTTGGTGGGGTGGTAGGGAATACAGAGGGTCTAGAAGAGGAGAGTAAGGGGCTACAGTTCTTTCACCTCCATCCTACTGCCTATCTCCCTTCTGCCTGTTTCAGTCTCCGCATCCCTTCTGCCTGCCTCATTGCCCTCCTACCCACGCAGTCTACAAGTACCTGGGCCTACCCCTGACTGAGTTACCTCTTTCCCCTTGCAGGCCAGGATGTCCATTCTAGGCCCACTGGTGCTGTCCTGCTGAAGGCTGGATCAAGCATCTCTACAGGAACTGTGGCAAGGGAGGGTGTGACACAGGTCTAATCAGCTGCCATCATCATCATGAACTTTGAGGGTCTGGACCCTGGACTGGCAGAATTTGCCTCAGCCATGCATTCAACCCTGGACCCTGTCCTGGATGCCCACTTGAACCCAAGTCTGCTACAGAACGTGGAGCTGGACCCAGAGGGAGTGGCCTTGGAGGCTCTTCCTGTGCAGGAGTCAGTGCACATAATGGAAGGTGTCTACTCTGAGTTGCACAGCGTGGTGGCTGAAGTGGGTGTACCTGTGTCCGTCTCCCACTTTGATTTGCACGAGGAGATGCTGTGGGTGGGGAGCCACGGGGTAAGAACCATATCTCTTTGAGAGGTGAAAGGACATTTTGGAGGTCTTTATCTGGTCTTTGCCTAAGAATGGCTGCTTTTCAGTTAGTCAGCTGAGTTGAAGTGTTGAGAGTTAACTGAATCTCTTAAGTCAAACCAAGAGGAGAGGGGTGGAGGAAGAACAGGGAAGTCCAGGGTCCAGGCAGGAGTTACATAGGTATTTACTTTCATAAGGCTATGATTTGCGCATTCCATGTTTTGTTTTGTTTGTTTTTGAGACAGTTTTACTATATAGACCAGGCTGGCCTCAAACTTGTGATTCTCCTGCCTCAGCCTTCTGAGTGCTGGGATTATAGGTGAGCATGACTACACATGGCTCCATCCCATGTTTTGGTTACCTATACTCATCACTTAGTCTGTAGTTATCCAAATCTAATCTCTAATGACCCTCCAGTGTTTTCCATTTCTATAATTATAGAATATTTAATGAATGTTTATGCATACTTACATGGAATCATTTTGTCTTCTCTAGCTAGTTTTAGTCTATCAGAGGAGTTATAATTTTTTTTAAATCTGTATCCATAGGATATGAAACCAAAAGGTTTTTTTGTTTTTTTTTTAAAGGAATAATATGCTAACTTTGATTTACTTATTTACCTTTCACCGGGTATTTTTCCATTAGAAGGAATAAAATTTGTCAGATTCATTCAGTTCAGTAGGCAGTGTCTACTGCTGTGCTAGGCACAGGGAATAAAATTGAGTAAAACATAGTCCTTACCTTCAAGTAGTTCCCAGGACAGTTAGGGGAAGCATACAAATAAATGAATTTATGGTACTAAGTGCAGATGTAAAAGTATCTACTGGGTGTGCTATAGAGCGCATGGAGAGTGTCAGAGAGGGTCTCCAGGGATTAAAGACACCTGAACTGACTTTTTTTATATTTTTGGTGGTACTGGGATTTGAATTTGGGGCCTCACACTTGCTAGGCAGTGCTCTACCACTTGAGCCACTCCACTAGTCCTTTTTTTCATGTTGGGTATTTTCTTGATAGGGTCTCTAGAACTATTTTCCCCGGCTGGCTTCAAACCAAGATCCTCCTGATCTCTGCCTCCTGAGCAGCTAGGATTGCAGCCACCAGCACCCAGCCTGAACTGACTCTTTGTTTGTTTATGTATGTATGTATGTATGTATGTATGTATGTATGTATGTTATGGTACTGGGGTTTGAATTCGGGGCTACATCTTGAGCCACTCCACCAGCCCTTTTTTTAATGGGTTTTTTTGAGATAAGGTCTCGAGAATGATTTGCCTGGGCTGACTTCAGAGATCCTCCTAATTTCTGCCTCCTGAGTAGCTAAGATTATAGGCATGAGCCACCAGCACCTGGCTTCTTGACTACTATTTTTTCTTTTTCTTTTTTTTTTTTTTTGGTGGTACTGGGGTTTGAACTCAAGGCCTCATGCTTGCCAGGCAGGCATTTTACCACTTGAGCCATTCCACCAGCCAGAATTGAAAAATGAATAGGAATCAGGTAAAGGAGAGGGGAAAATGCTGTATTAGCATAGGATAAAACACACACACACACACACACACACACACATGCACACAATTATTACATGCCTAAGTCATAGGAATTTTGGGCTGTCAATAAAGTTTTTCGTTTTTGTTTCCTAAGTGTTGGGATCAAACCTAGGACTTCACACATACTAGGTAAGTGCTCTACACTGAGCTATATATCCCCAGCCTTCTCAACCAGTAAGCACCTACTAGGTGCCAGAGCCTGATTTAGGGTTTAGATTTGAAATAAGCAATAAAAACAAAATCTGTAAATAATACATGAGGTGCTGATTAGTACTCTTAAGAAAAAAACTGGAATAAGGGTGTTGAGGTAATGAAGAATGGAGATGTTATTGTCTTAGACAGTTCATCACAAGAATTCTCTCTGATAAAGTGTCTCTTTTTGGTTGCTGGGGATTGAACCCAGGGCCTGCATTCTACCAGTGAGCTACATCCCTAAAGGCACATGAGTATAGAGACCTGGATGGAGGCCAGATCCTGCTGATGGGAGGGAAGGAGCTATGTAGATAGCTCTAGAGAATTTCATACATTATGTTAAGCTCTAGAGAACTTTATATGCTTTGTTAACCTAAGACTTGTTCCTTTAGGCCACTGAAGGGTTTTTATTTGGAATGACAAGGTCTGGTTTGCTTTCTAGGTGGACTGTTGAGGTAGCAGTATAGAGTTTGATTTAAGGAGGATGAGACAGGACTCAATGAGATCAGTTTGCAGGCTAATGTACTGGTTCACACAAAATATAAAGGTCTGAAGAAAGCACTATAGAGATGGGCATGTAAGAAAGATTTAGGAAGTAAAATAAATAGGACTTGATTATCAAATTTATTTGGTCAGTAGGTAGATCATGGTACTACAGAGAATATAGTAAAAATTGAAATGGGGTACAAATGGTGATTTTAATTTACAACGTAATGAGTACGAGGCTTTCATGGGATGTCTAAGGAGAGATGCTTAAAAAGTATTTGGATGGGGAGTGGGGGAGGGGGAAAAGTATTTGGATGCATTAGTCTGAAGCTTGAGGAGTGGTCTGGGCTAGGGAAAGAAATAAGGGTTCATCAGCTTTAGGATGGTTAAAACTTTGAGTATGGCTGGGCGTGGTGACTCATGCTTATAATCCCAGCTACTTGGGAGGTGGATGTAGAAGAATCTTGGTCTAAGGGCAGTCTGGGCAAAAATGTGAGACCCTATCTGAAAAATAACTAAAAGTAAAAGCACTGGGGATGTGGCTCAAGTGGTAGAGCACAAGCTTAAGGCCCTGAGTTCAACCTCCATTACCACCTTCACCACCACCACCAACAAAGAAAACTCGAAAGTGTATAAGATTACCTCTGAAAATAAGTAGAGTGAGAAAATACTAGGTTGGGAACAGCCATATTTCAAGAATGATCAGAAGTACAGCACAGCTGGAAGCCACCCACAGCACAGCTGGGTGCCGGTGGCTCACCCCTGTAATCTTAGCTACTTGGGAGGCTGAGTTTGGGAAGGTTGGGAGGTCAGTCCAGGCAAATAGTTGAGACTCCATCTCCAAAATAACCAGAGTGAAATGGACTGGAGGTGTGGTAGAGCACCTGCCTAGCAAGTGTGAAGCCCTGAGTTTAATCCCAAGTCCCACCCCACCGCCCCCCGAAAAAAACAAAGCAGGTATGAACTGAAAAAAGGAGTGAATGATAACACAGAAGGTAAGGGAGGGATGTTTCACATTCTCTTTCTATTCTAACTTGTGACCCACACCATCCATTTTCCAGTTGACTGGTAGAGATTAAAATAACTCTGAACCCAGGCATGGTGGTGTGTTCCTGTAATTCCTGCACTTGAGAGGTTGAGGCAGGATGATCTGAGTTTGAGGCCAGTCTGGCTACAAAGTGAAATTCTGTCTTTAAAAAAAAATTTAAAAAGCCAGGTGCAGTGGCTCATGCCTGTAATCCTAGCTATGCAGGAGGCAGAGATCAGTAGGATTGTGGTTTGAAGCCAGACTGGGCAAATAGTTGGTTGACCCTATTTTGAAAAAACTTATCACAAAAAAGGGCTGGTTGAAAAATTAGAGATAAGGGCAAAATAGTTTCTGCTGGGTAGTGAAGGGGTGGGAGGGAAAGGGAGGGGATGGGGCGGGGGGGGGCTAAGGGAGGAGGTGGGGGAATGGGGGAGAAATGACCCAAACATTGTGTGCAAATATGAATAATAAATAAATAAATAAATAAAAGGGCTGGTTGAGGGGCTCAAGGTGTAGGCCCTGAGTTCAAACCCCAGTACTGCAAAAAAAAAAAAAAAAAAAAACAGACTTGAATATGGAACATAAAAAAGCCAGATGACCAGGGGAGGATCAGGCCATGTCTCTGGCTTTCTGAACAAACACATCTCTTAATCAAATGAAGCATTTCTATTCAGCAAGGTCATTGTAAGGATAAAATAAAGTTTACAAAAGTATTTTGTAATGTATTAAATAAAAGTACTTGGGCCAGGTATACTGGGGAGGCTGAGATTGGGAGGATTAAGGTTTGAGGCCAGTCCAGGAAAATAGTTTGTGAGATGCCCCCCCACCCCCAATCTCCAAAATAACCAGAGCAAAATGGACTAGAGGTGTGGCTCAACTGGCACAGCACCTGCTTAGCAAGCGTGAATCCCTTAGTTCAAACCCCAAACTCACCAAAAAAACAAAAAACAAAACTTGGTAATACATTAAACAAAAGTACTTTGTAGTGCATTAATGTATGGCAATATAATAATGATCTTTTTTGTCTTTATCACTATAGTTGATTGGTCCCTAGCTGTATGCCTTAGTTGCTCCTAGCCAGAAAGGACAGGCAAGAAAGAAGGAAAGCTGAGTAGTGCCCAGTTCCTAAACAGTATCTGAGATGGCTCTGTCCTTCTACTCAGGATGTCTCTGTTGTCTTTGTCACCTACAGGGCCATGCCACTTCATTTTTTGGACCAGCCTTGGAGCGCTACTCATCCTTTCAGGTCAATGGCAGTGATGACATTCGGCAGATCCAGAGCCTCGAGAATGGTATCCTTTTTCTCACCAAGAACAACCTCAAGTATATGGCCCGTGGGGGCCTCATTATATTTGATTACTTGTAAGTGGCTTTTCAGCTCTGGACGGGGAAAGAGGGAAACTCATAGTGTAGGAAGGCTAAAGGATTGGCAGCTTGATGAGATCTTGGCTTGAGGGCCTTTCCTGTCTCACACAGGCTGGATGAGAGTGAGGATATGCATAGTCTCCTGCTGACTGATAGCAGCACTCTACTTGTTGGTGGGCTGCAGAACCATGTATTGGAAATTGATCTGAACACTGTCCAGGAGACTCAAAAGGTACAAGCCTGACTTGGACACAAGAAAGACCCATGCAGGGTGTGAAGTCATGTTCTTGAGATGTGACCTCTCTGTTCCTTTGCATTGTGAGAAAAGTCATTCTTATCATGGGTTTTTACTGCTTCCTTCTCCAGTATGCTGTTGAGATACCTGGAGTCACCATTATGAGACAGACAAATCGCTTCTTCTTCTGTGGCCACACATCTGGCAAGGTGGTGAAGTTCCATTTCTTCTCCTACCACAGGGCCCTGTTTCACTAGATACCTGTTCAGTGTCTGCTTTCCTTAGTTGTATTGGAGATGGATGAGAGGAATGAATTAACTTCTTGCTCAGATAGTTATTCTATGAGATTTTCTTACATCCTGATGTTTTCTGCAGCTAGGTGCCTTGAAGGCAAAAGGGTAAACCACAGTTCTTTTGGGGGTTCCTTCTAGCTATTGGCCTCTCTTTTTTTTTTTTTTTTTTTTTTGTGGTATTGAAGTTTGAACTCAGAGCCTATACTTTGAGTCACTCCACCAGCCCATTTCTTTTTTTTTAGTGGTTTTTTGAGATAGGGTCTTATGAACTGTTTGCCGGGCTGGCTTTGAACCACAGTCCTCCTGATCTCTGCCTCCTGAGTAACTAGGATTACAGGCGTGAGTCATCAGATCCCAGCTCTTTTTGCATTTTCTTTGCTCCAGCTGTCCATATCCTAGCACCTTATATCCTTTGGTAGGGACCTCAGAGGGTTAGGCAGGTGGCAGGGATTCTTTCTGATAACAGAGTTATCTCTTCTTTAGGTTTCCCTAAGAGACCTCCGTAGTTTTAAGGTGGAGCATGAATTTGATGCCTTCTCAGGGAGTCTGTCAGATTTTGATGTACATGGCAACCTATTAGCTGCCTGTGGATTCTCCAGCCGCCTCACTGGCCTGGCCTGTGACCGTTTCCTCAAGGTGTATGATTTGCGCATGATGCGTGCCATCACACCACTTCAAGTACATGTGGATCCTGCCTTCTTGCGCTTCATCCCTACATACACTTCTCGTCTTGCTATCATCTCCCAGTCAGGTATGAAGGGGATGTAGAATTGGGTAGGAGAGGTCAGTGAGCAGAGGTGAACTAGACACAGAAGGAATATTCTCTTGTTGGGGAAAGAAGTAACCTTTCATTAGGGTCCTAGGGTTTGACTTAGCTTGGTAAGAGATGAGAGCTTTTATTTTTTTTCTTTGGATGTGAGGAACATAAAAAACAAAAATAGAATAAGCAGAATAACTTGAGAGTTGCTCTCTTCTGGTAGCATCCTGTGGTTTATGGGAGGGCATCAGATGGCATTCTGTCTGTGTATAGGCATGAACTTGGGGTCCTCCTGACCTTGATGTTAGAATAGGGTAGAAAAGGAATAAAACAATGTCTCCTTTTCATTTTCTAGGGCTCAGTGGGTTTGTTTCTTCCTCTGTCCTAGGGCAGTGCCAGTTTTGTGAGCCTACAGGCCTGGCCAACCCAGCAGACATTTTTCATGTGAATCCTGTGGGACCTCTGCTAATGACATTTGATGTGTCAGCCAGCAAGCAGGCCCTGGCATTTGGAGATTCTGAGGGCTGTGTGCACCTATGGACTGATTCCCCTGAGCCTTCCTTTAACCCCTACTCCCGTGAGACTGAGTTTGCTTTGCCCTGTCTCGTGGACTCACTGCCTCCTCTGGACTGGAGCCAGGACCTGCTGCCTCTTTCTCTCATCCCTGTTCCACTCACCACTGACACACTTCTCTCTGATTGGCCTGCTGCCAACTCCGCTCCAGCACCCAGGTTGTACCTCACCTCTGGGCCAAAAGGAGGGAGGGGGAAAGGGCCAAGATGCCAGAATCTTGGCATCTAGTAACAGCTAGTCCTGTTATTATTCTACTACTTCCCTGATTTTTGTCTACTTCCAGTATTTCCTTTTTTTTTTCTTCCCCCCCTGGACTTTTGGGGGTTGTGGAGAGCATGGGTAGATAACAGTACCTTTGAGCCCTAGAACTATACTGGATTGTAGGCGAGCACCACCTGTGGATGCAGAGATTCTGCGCACCATGAAGAAAGTGGGCTTCATTGGCTATGCACCCAACCCCCGCACCAGGCTGCGCAATCAGGTGTGTTCAGAGGGGAGAGGGTTAGCCCCACCCTAGCTCACTGGTGTTTCATTCCCCTTTGGGGGGGCCTACTGAATTAAAGGAGCTATGGTTTTTGTTAGGAAGGATTCAGAGACATAGAAGATAGGGTCTTTGCCCTTAGGGGTTTAGTATTTTGTTGAAGATAAGATGAATAGCCACATCAGAAATTATTTACATACTGTTGTTAAATACCAAAGAAACGTTATAAGCAATCAGTGTGCTAGAGCTGTTCAGGGGAAATGTTTCTCTAGGCTGGAGTGGTCAGGGATGGCATAATAAGTGGACGTTGAGCTAGAAAGGCAGGATTTGGGTAAAAAGATGGTCATGGAAGAGAATATTTAAGATGAGAAAATAGTGTTATTGACGGTCTTGAGGAGTCAATGGAAAAGCATGTTGGGGGAACTGAGAGTACAGCTGTCTGACTGGAGCAGCAGTTATATTGAGAAACAGTGAGAGGTTAAGGTTAGAGGGGCCATGTTGTGAAGCCTTGAATACCAGTGTGTACTGGAAGAAGTAGTACACTGAAAGCAGCATTCTGGGATGTTAGTTTGGTAGCTGGACAGAGTGAATATAGGGAGCTCAATGTGGAAACCATCACACTTGCTCTGCTATGATGTAATATCGAGGTAGCAGTAGGAAAAGGACTGGGGATGTGGCTTAGGTCGTAGATCGCCTGCTTAGCAAACATGAGGCCCCGAGTTCAAACTTCAGTAGCATAAAAAAAAAAGCTGGATGTGGTGGTGCACATTTGTAATCCCAGCACTCTAGAGACTGAGACAGAAAGATCACAAATTCAAAACAAAGAAGAAAGGAAAGCAGGGAGGTATGCTGGAACACTGTAGAAATAGAATGCCTAGGACTTGGTTGCTGTTTTGATGTTGGGATAAAAGTGAGGGGGGAAGCCAAAGATAATTAAGATATCTAACAGAGGTACCTCTTTTTTAAAACTCTAGATTCCTTACCGACTAAAGGAGTCAGACAGTGAATTTGACAGCTTCAGCCAGGTTACTGAGTCACCAATAGGGCGTGAAGAGGAGCCACATCTCCACATGGTTTCTAAGAAATACCGCAAGGTGCTGGGGCACTCCAAGGCAGGAACCCTATGGGATGTGGGGAAGCATGCCCTGGGAAGGGGGTCATATGAGAAGGGATTGAAGTTCTCAGTCAAGAAGTCTTCACCTACCACTCAGGACCCAGGAGGGAGGGAGGAGTAGTTATGGCTACTGGGAAGATTTAGGGGACTCTAAGATGTCTTTGTCCTGCTCAGACTGTTTCTACCCCAGGTAACCATCAAATATTCCAAGCTAGGGCTGGAGGACTTTGACTTCAAACACTACAATAAGACCCTGTTTGCTGGATTAGAGCCCCACATTCCTAATGCCTACTGTAACTGCATGATCCAGGTAAAGGCTGCGTATTCCTAGGACTTGAACATGCCTACTGCCTTTCTTCCCTGTTGCCGCTTAACCCCTACTCTGCTATTTCTAGTACTCCTCAACCAAACCCATTGTACCTTGGCCTCATCTATCATTCTTTCTTGCCTCCATACCTTTAAGTCTCCTCTGTGAGCTCCAGTGCTTCAGTGGGGTGCTGCTTTGTATTTTCCAACAGCTTAATTCCCCATCTTTTCTTCCTCTCCCAGTTTATTGTACCACTTCTGCTTTTTCCTTCAGGTGCTCTATTTCCTGGAGCCTGTTCGCTGTCTAATCCAGAATCACCTTTGCCAGAAGGAGTTCTGTCTGGCATGTGAGCTGGGCTTCCTCTTTCATATGTTGGACCTTTCTCGCGGTGACCCTTGCCAGGTCAGTGCTTGGAGATCGGGGACATTTAAAATGGAAGGGGAAGAGAAGTGCAAATGCTGTGCAAATGGCCACAAAAAGAGAAAATAACCCCTTTCTATCAACATACCTTTTCCAGGGCAGTAATTTTCTTCGAGCATTCCGTACTATTCCAGAGGCCTCAGCCCTTGGTCTGATCCTGGCTGATTCAGATGAGGCATCAGGCAAGGGCAATCTGGCAAGGCTCATTCAGAGGTGGAATCGTTTCATTCTCACTCAGTTGCACCAGGATATGCAGGAGCTAGAAGTACCCCAGGCTTATCGAGTTGCTGGAGGCAGGTATGGAATTGAACAGGCACAGTTAAAAGCCAGCATGACAGGACAGGCCCCTGTGGGACTTGAAGCATCTTCTAACTCCCTTAGTGTGCATATATTGCCCTCCCACTCTTAGCAGCTTTTGTTCATCGGGGGACTCTGTCATTGGGCAGCTATTCAACTGTGAGGTGGAAAACTGCAGTCTCTGCCGCTGTGGCAGTGAAACCGTGCGAGCCTCATCTACCCTGCTCTTCACACTCTCCTACCCTGAGGGTAGCAACTGTGGTATACCCTGAGGCTGGGTTGGGAAGGCTCCCCTAGAGATGTCTTGTAACATCGTGGAGGGGTGTTGGGAGGCTCATTGTGGGTAGAGAGGAGAACCTGGAGTGAAGTATCCAGTTTCCCCTCAGATAAAACTGGGAAGAACTATGACTTTGCTCAGGTGCTGAAGCGAAGCATCTGCCTGGAACAGAATACACAGGCCTGGTGTGACAACTGTGAGAAATACCAGCCTACGGTGAGTGGGTATTGGACAGGACTAAAGTCCTGTCATGTTGGGGACAAACATGTTCTCATCTGGGGCTGGCTGTGTCAGTGCTGCCATCCAGGGATCAATAGAAAGGGCGAACCAACCCCATTTTGAGGCTTCAGATCCAGGTTTTACTGATCCTGTCCAGGATTCTTTCTCTATAGACTCCCCTCTTGTTTATTTCATCCTCTTAGATTCAGACCCGCAATATCCGCCACCTGCCAGATATTCTTGTGATTAACTGTGAGGTGAACAGCTCAAAAGAGGCTGATTTCTGGAGGATACAGGCTGAGGTAAGGACCAGGGCTGGTAACGGGGCTTTCAAGAAGTACTTCTTATTTTTATTCTTCTTACTTCCATATATCATGTTCTTAAGGAATCAGGTATCTTTCCCTTTGTATTCAGGTTGCCTTCAAGATGTCAGTCAAGAAGCATGGTGGGGAAATCAAAAACAAGGAATTTGCTTTGGCTGATCGGTAGGTACTGTCTTGGGAGCTGTCAAAGGATTGAACTACTCAGTGGCTCCTCAGTTCATTGGCTAGATCTCTTCAGAGCATCTTTCCAATTCTTCTGTCCTGATAGGAAGGACCTAGGGAATCCAGAGGGTTTGCTGTTGTGTCCCTCCATTGAGGAACTGAAGAATGTCTGGCTTCCTTTTTCCATTCGTATGAAGATGACCAAGAACAAAGGACTGGATGTTTGCAATTGGACTGATGGGGATGAGATGCAGGTTGTTGAAAAACTGGGAAGAAGAAAGGGAATAAGAGAGAGAAGTCAGGGTAGAAGGTGAAGCAGGGTAGGGGGAAGGTGGAACTTAGTAGAGGAAAAAGGAAGGAATAAGGCCTAGTATTTACCAGTTGTGGGATTACAGAATAACTCAGTTTAGTGTTGGGAGTCATAGATGGGCTAGGATGGAGATAACCCACCCTGGTTCCCCATCGCCTGTACCCCCTCCTTCCTGTCCTCTATCCCCATCCCCCTTCCTCCCTCATCCTTAAACTTAGCTTAGCAGCCTGGGTACCCCCCTCACAGTGGGGCCCAGCCAGGGCAGAGGAGGAGCATGGTGTCTATGTGTATGACCTGATGGCTACTGTGGTACACATCCTGGACTCGCGCACAGGGGGTAGCCTGGTGGCTCACATCAAAGTCGGAGAGACTTACCACCAGCGCAAGGAGGTGAGTGAGGTGATACAGGGCAAGGAAATTCCTGGGGTTGGCCATAGTGGAGTCCTGGGTTTGTCCTGGAGACTTGGCAGAGTGATCCAGTATCATTTTGTCATCAGCCTTTCTCTGTATCTGCATAGGGTGTTACTCACCAGCAGTGGTACCTCTTCAATGACTTTCTTATTGAACCTATTGATAAGGTGAGTTGCTGAGTTGCAACATGTTCCATTCCCCCTTTCATCTCCTGTGGGTTTGTTTTTGTTTTTTTTTGTTTTTTTTTTTGTGGTACTGGAGTTTGAACTCAGAGCCTCACACCTGCTAGGCAGGCACTCTACCATTTGAGCCACTCCGCACCACCAGCCCTTTTTTGTGTGAGAGTGTGTGTGTGTGTGTGTGTGTGTGTGTGTGTGGCGTATTTTTGAGATAGGGTCTTGCTTTTTGCCTGGGCTGGCCTTGAACCTTGATCCTCCTGATCTCTTCCTCCTGAGTAGGTAGGATTACAGGTGTGAGCCCCCAGCGCCCTGCCTTCATCTCCCCTTTTGCTAGCACCCTCATCCTTAGGGAGGATGTCTGGCATACTTGTAGAATGCCAGGCATATTCAAGAGGGAAGGAAGTGAGGGAAAGATCCTTGGGAATAAAGATATTAGCAGAATTAAAAATAGCACTTGAGTCCTGGCCTCTGTCTGACTTGGGGAAAAGGAAAAAAGGACACGTGCATAGGCTATAGTGCTTTTTCATAACACACAGACACATTTTTAAGCCACAAGTTACAAAGGCAGTTTGACTACAGTTTTTCTGTTTCTGTTTCCGATTTACCACAAACTTTAGGTACAACAAAATTCAAAGGGTCTCATTTTACCTTCTTACAATGTTAGGGGCTTTCTGGAGAATAAAGAAAGGATTTGCAACATGTGTTTAAGAAGTATCAAGTCAGGCAAGTGGCTTACGCCTGCAATCCCAGTACTAGGGAGGCTGAGACAGGAAGATCGAGAGTTTAAGGCCGGCCTGGGCTATGTAGCAAGATCTTGTCTCAAAAAAAAAGTAGTCAATATGATTTATGCTGTAAGCTGTTGAATATTAGGGGAGCAGGGGAATAGAGAAAGAGTAAGAAGTAATAGAGTAGGTTAATCTGGTTAAAGCACGATATACACATCTGAAATACTGAATCGAAACCCCCTTGAACAATCAATATACCCTTAAAAAAATGAAGGGCAGGAAGGTAAAACAGGTCCTGTCCAGAGGTGGGTACCAATGGGACTGGGGAATGTAAACAGAGAAGGTGAAGGAAGGCAAATATGGTAAATGTGTTTTGTATTCATGTATGAAAATAGAACAATGAAACTTGTTGAAATTGTTCTAAGATGGTGGAATGGGGGGATGAGGGAGAATGATGGAGGGGGTGAATCTAAGATATATAGAAACACATAATGTTAATGTCACAATGTATCCCTTGCCCCCCCCACATAAATATTATATGCTAATTTAAAAAAAGATGACAACATTTCAAGATCATTCATTGCCAGGTTCTTAACTGGGATTAGAGTAGTAAGAAAAGCTCTCTCCCTTTTTTTCCCTCTGTATCCCCACCTACTTTTGATTCAACAGACCTGGGGTAGATGCAGACACTTTTCAAAACCTTCCTAATGGATCACACACACATAAAAGCTCCTGCATAATCTTAACAATTGATCAATACTCTACTTGTGTCTACCTTAGAACAATAGCAATTTACAGAGCTAAAGCAATCTCTGAACTGTCCCTGTCAAGCTGTCATGATTTTATCTTCATAAAGATAAAAGTGAAGCTGGGTGCCAGTGGCTCACGTCTATAATCCTAGTTACTTGGGAGGCTGAGATCAAGAGGATCAAGGTTCGAGGCCAGCCTGGACAAATAGTTCTCAAGACTCCCATCTCTAAAATCAGAGCAAAATGGATTAGAGGTGTGATTCCAGTGGTAGAGCACCTGCTTTGCAAGAGTGAAGCCCTGAGTTCAAACCCCAGTCCCAGCAAAAAAAAGATAGAGGTGAAATAAAAAACAATCAACATGGCTATTTTTCCCCCAGTGCTGGGGATTGAACCCAGGTCTTTATGCATGTGAGGCAAGCACTCTACCATTGAACTACTTCCAACTCTTTGCTTTTTTTCTTCTCTAGCATGAAGCTGTGCAGTTTGACATGAATTGGAAAGTACCTGCTATCCTTTATTATGTCAAAAGGAATCTCAATTCCAGATACAACCTGAACAGTAAGTGTTGCAGGGTATGGGCAGTTTAAATTGGACTTCCAGAAGAAATCTGAGAATAGTTTTAGTGTTCAATATTGGTAACTACTGCTCATATTTCCAGGATGCTAAAGACAGACCTGCTTATCAGACCTTAAATTTAGAAGCTGGAAAGCTTGAGAGTGGAATGGGGAAGCAGGTGAAGGTGAAAGTCTGGTCATAATGGTTTAGATTATGATTTTGAGTCTAAATATTCTTATCCCCAAGTGACAGTCTCTTTTCTTTTGCAGATGAGCTCCTTATTAAGTCTCTATTTGGTATTTTTAAACTATAGTCTCTCTTATTTTTCTGGATTTTCTAAGCTAAGATCCAAAGTAAAGATCTTTTTTTTCTGTCATCTCTAGATTTTTTTTCTTGGAATATTTGGATTTGAACTCAGAGCCTTGAGCTTGCTAGCAGGCGCTCTACTGCTTGAGTGACTCCACCAGCCCCTTGACATATTTCTTGAATTTTTTTGTGTGTGTATACTGGGGCTTGAACTCAGGGCCTACACCTTGAGCCACTCCACCAGCTTGTGAAGGGTTTTTTCAAGATAGGGTCTCAGAATTATTTTCCCCAGGCTGGCTTTGAACCTCAATCCTTCTGTTCTCTGCCTCCTGAGTAGTACTTATAGTGTGAGCCACCGGTGTCCGGCTCTTGAATATTTTTTTATTTGATCTACTCTGTTTACCTGGATAGGTAGTTTATCAGATATGATCTTTCTACTTAATGCTTTGATTATTGAGAAATCACATTGTAGACTCAGAGTCTCTGATGATCCATTTTGGGCTTCTTTTCCCTAGTCAATTCCCTCTCCCTAGCCCTTTGTCCTGTCCATTTTCCCTTTCAGTCAAGAACCCTATTGAGGCTAGTGTGCTGCTGGCTGAAGCCTCACTAGCACGGAAGCAGCGGAAAACACATACTACCTTTATTCCATTGATGCTGAATGAGATGCCACAGGTTGGGGACCTGGTGGGCCTTGATGCTGAATTTGTCACCCTTAATGAGGTAACCAAGACCAGAAGGATGGGACAGTGGAACAGAACTCTGAGTCCATTAGGGATTGTAAACATTTCTCTGATGTCTTCATTAACTTTTGACACATAGGAGGAAGCAGAGTTACGCAGTGATGGTACCAAGTCTACCATTAAACCAAGCCAGATGTCAGTAGCACGGATCACCTGTGTTCGGGGTCAGGGGCCCAATGAAGGTATCCCCTTCATTGATGACTACATCTCTACCCAGGAGCAGGTATTAAGATATGCAGGTGTTAGTGAGGCAGACCCTGTGCTTATATAGTGTGCTTGAGAACCCAGGGAAGAGTGGTTAAGAGGAGACTCTACACCTCACATCCTGAGTGAATTTTCCTTTTCTTTATTCCTAGGTAGTGGATTATTTGACTCAGTATTCGGGTATAAAGCCAGGAGACCTTGATGCTAAAATTTCCTCCAAGCATCTCACAACTCTCAAGTCTACCTACTTAAAGCTTCGTTTTCTCATTGACATTGGAGTCAAGTTCGTGGGTCATGGCCTGCAGAAGGACTTCCGGGTCATCAACCTCATGGTTCGGGCAGGGTATATATTGTGGTTTTAGAGAATGGGAAATTACGAATCCCCTACCTTATGACTCTCACTCTTTTATTCCTGCCAGGTGCCCAAGGACCAAGTCCTTGACACTGTCTATCTGTTTCACATGCCCCGCAAACGAATGATTTCCCTGCGATTTCTTGCTTGGTACTTTCTGGGTAAGTTGCTCTGCCTTGCAGGCCCCTGAGGTGCTGATTAAGAGTAGGAAAAAGTCCAGGTGCTGTTGGCTCATCCTGATAATTCTGGCTACTCAGGAGGCAGAGACCTGGACTATTGTGATTCCATATCCCTGGGCAAAAAAGTTTCTAAGACCTCCATCTCAGTCAATAAAAATCTGGGCATGGTGGCATGTGCCTGTCATCCCAGCTATGTGGGAAGTATAAATAGGAGGGTTGTGGTCCAGGCCAGCCCTGGGAAAAAGGGAGACCCTATCTCAGAAATAACCAGAGGGAAAAAAAAAGGGGGCTCTGGAGATGTGGCTTAAGCAGTGGAGCACCTGCCTAGCAAACAGGAAGCCCTGAATTCAAACCCCAGTACTGCCCCTTCCCCCCCAAAAAAAGTAGAAAATGTGTTGAAGGACAAAGGGGGCGTTGGGGAAGGCCTTTAGTTAATGGTAAGAGTTACTAATGGTTTTAGCCTGTAATGGTTCATGCCTGTAATCCTAGCTACTCAGGATGCAGAGGTCAGGAGGATTGTAGTTTGAAGCCAGCCTAGGGAAGTTGTTTGCGAGACCCTATCTTGAAAATACCCAATATAAAAAAGGGGCGGTGGAATGGCTCAAGTGATAGAACACCTGCCTAGCAAGTGCCAGGCCCTGAGTTCAAGCCCCAGTACTGGAAAAAAAAAAAAGTTACTAATGGTTTTAATTAGCTTTGATATCCCTTCTGTGCACTAGAGAAGGTGTTTGACTCTTTTTCTTAAGGGAAGGCATTTTTTTTTTTTCTGTGAATCAGAATAGGAGTAGCGACATGTTCCTACCTCCTTTTGCTAGTTTCCAAACTATTGGACTTCTGCTTATCCCAGACTTGAAGATTCAAGGGAGACCCATGATAGTATTGAGGATGCCCGCACAGCTCTTCAACTCTACCGAAAGTATCTGGAGCTAAGCAAGAATGGCACTGAGCCTGAGTCCTTCCACAAGGTGCTCAAGGGTCTTTATGAGAAGGGACGAAAGATGGACTGGAAGGTGCCAGAGCCTGAAAGCCAGACAAGTCCCAAGAGTAAGGCCTGGGATGGGACAAGGGAAACTCAGCTGGGTAGGTTTTGATTGCATGTATAGACATTGTATGCACCACAATAGTAATTATGATGATAACTCTACTACCCCTGCCTTATACTTGTGAAACATTTAACAGTTTACAAAGCATTTAAGCTTCAGTGCTTCAGTGAAATACATTTTATTATTGAAACTCTCCAGTGATCCAAAGTCTCATCTTGCCTAATTCTAAAATGTTTGGGGAAGGTCCATACCATGCCTTCTTTTCTCTTGCATTTTTCTTTCATAAGAGGTATTCCACGGGCTAGGGGTGTGGCTCAAGTGATACAGTGCCTGCTTAAAAACCATGAGGCCTTGACTTCAAACCCCAATACCACACACACACACACACACACACACACACACACACAAAGATATCCCAAGTGCTTTTTTCTTCACTCACCTTATGAGTCATGATCTTGATTTTGTCTCTGACAGATGCAGCTGTTTTCTCCTCAGTGCTGGCACTCTGACCTGCCTTCTCCCTTCTGTGTTTTGTGGCCCCATGTTGGCTTTACCCTGTCCACTTCCAGAACTGGACTGCTCAGGGTCTACAGATGGTGCTATTAAATAGAACTGGCATGCAACAAAATTGTTGCATAGGTTCTAGGAGCCAGAGTCCTTCATCATCCATTGCAAAACAGTGGGCGAGAAACGGCCTAGAATTGACCTAGATGGAAAGTAATTGGTATTATTAATAAATATCCTGGGTGATTTACATCTAGGCAAAGAAGCTCCTGGAACCAAAACCCTCACTTCCTAGCTGGCTAGGGACTAAAGTCTCAGATTGTGACAGGATATAACAGGAGCTGTAGACTTACCTCAAAGTTGCAACTAGTTGAGGGACAATGTCTGGGGAGACCAGCCTGAAGAATCTTAGTGGCTCAAGCAAACCAGTGTTGCCAACACCGTTGCCAAAGGAGACTTTGGGTCCTGGAGGAAATTTAGCTGCTAGCATCATTCCTGCTGACAGCAGAGAAGCATCGGTCTTCCATTCACTCTGTCTTGAATTTATTTTTTTTAATTTTGTTTTAAATCGCATGTTTTGTAAAATAAAAATATTTTTGTCTGTCTCTCAAGAGAACTGCTACTGTGGGAGTTCTCTGATTTCAGCCCTCTTTATTTTGGCTTCACCTAAAACTAAAGTTGTGTTCAGATCCCTGTCTAGAAATGAAGGTAAAGTGCTAGAGTTCAAAATTACAGATTTAAGAGGAGTATAGTTATGTTTCTTGTGCACAACCTTAGGTTTTTACCTTACTTGCCTAGTACGCTAAGGTCAGATTGTGTGAAGATTTATAGCACAGTTTCCTCTTAAGCTAGTAAACTGACAAACTACAAATCCCAGATAATCTTAAACACCTGTAGCTACTATCAATCTGCCTGGCGCTGCGATGCTTCCTGGGTAATGTAGTTTCCTGTGTATTGAAATTGCTTGTAACCTGGGCTTCTCACCGGCTAGCAGCTTTTTTTTTGGAAAGCCTAGCCCACTTGGACTGAGGCACGTTTGCACCTGTTTCTCTGTAGGACTCTTGTGCTCTGTCTTCACTGCTTTAGGCAACTATTTGACTGACCCCTGGTGGTCACGTGGAGCTGTCGCCACGCAAGTCTGGGTCCTTCTGTGAACGATTGGGCCCTCGCTGCCTCTGAGCCACTCCTGAGTCGCCTGATCGCGCGAGAGCTTAGAGGGGCGGGTTTGGGGTCAGTCTAGTGGGGGCTTGTACGACAGCATCCGCTGCCACTGAGCCCTGCTTAGGTTCTCTGTTAGGTGCGGGAAGCTGGGTCAGGCTGCCACTGCGGCACCCTGAGTCTGGAAAGCGCCGAAGCGCTCTGGAAAAATCCGGACAGCCTCACTCCCCGCCAGGTGCCAGGGTTAGGAGCCACCGAGGCTAAAGTGAGAGTCCGGCAGTCTTCCCTTGACTGAGCCACGGCGGCGGCCCTGGGAGCAGAGGTGGGACGGATGAGGGTGGCGGAGGCGCTCCGCGCTGAGGGTTGGGAATGGATCCTAGCGGAAGCAATGGCGGAGTCCTTAGAAAGGGGGCTGGTCTGCACGGGTAACCTCATAACAGGCTGGTGGTAGGGATGCAGCAGTCTTCCCGGCTGGGCTCAAACAGGCCCTAGTTAGTGGTGCTCTGTTCGCCGGCTTCCTGGCCTGACTCAAGTCTTTGTCCTTACTGGCAGCCCCCGTGCCTATCGTCCCGCGTAGTTGCCAGCCTCCGTCCCATAGCTGCCACATAGCCCGGTGAGCCTTTGGCATCTAGTGCTCAAGTGTCAACGTTCAGGGCCTCACCTGACGATGCAGTTTCTGGAACTGAGACCTAAGTCCTGAGGTCCCACTTCCACCCGCCGTCCAGGAGAATAGGGGGCTCTTAGGTGCTGGCGCAGCTCTTTTGTATCTTGGCCATTTCCTGGGATGGAGAGTCCCAGTCACACTGAGGCCTTTGAAGGCCTTGGGATGAAGAGCAGGGCCGAGTTGGGGAGGAATGGGGGAGGTGGAGGGAGGTAGGGAAAAATTGAGTCCTCACGGGTATGTTTTATTCCTACTCGAACCCAGGTGGAGCAACCCCATTACGCTAAGGATGAAAGGCTGGGGTTGGCTGGCCCTGCTTCTAGGGGCCCTGCTGGGAAGTGCCTGGGCTCGAAGGAGCCAGGATCTACACTGTGGAGGTAAAGACACAAAAAGAAGTGGGAGGAAGCAGATCCTGGGAGGGAGACAAAAAGTCCAAGGCTTGGGTGAAGGATGGATGGAAATCCCTGAGTTGATCTTAGTCTCCTTCCCCCTTCTACTCCATTCTTTTCCCTTGCACCAGCTTGCAGGGCTCTGGTGGATGAACTAGAGTGGGAAATTGCCCAGGTGGATCCCAAGAAGACCATTCAGATGGGATCTTTCCGGATCAATCCAGATGGCAGTCAGTCAGTGGTGGAGGTAACTGTTACTGTTCCCCCAAATGAAGTAGCTCACACTGAGTTTGAATGAGAACTCAGTTAAGAAGGACCTTGGTTTAATAGAAATGAAGAAAAGAGAGGTATCTAAAAGATACCCTGTCTCTTTTGGAGGAGACTGCAGGCTAATACTCTATGTAATTGCCTCCTGCCTCCCAACCTTAATACATTGTTTCTACTGTAGAAGTTGGCTGATAGGGAGTCTTGATCAGTGCCCTTCTCCACATCCCTAATTCATACTCATGTTTCACTATAGCGATGTGGTATACATAGTTTCAGTCAAGGACTGGGGATGTGGCTCAAGTGGTAGAGCAAAGCCTAACAAGAAGGAGGCCCCTGAATTCAAGCCCCAGGACTACCAAAAAACAACAAAAAGCTTTGCTGGGCAAGGTGGTACACATCTGTGATCCCATATATTCAGGAGGCAGAGATTGGATTGAGGTTCAAGGCCAGTCAGGGCAAAAAGTTAGTAAGACCCTCAAAAGCAAATAAGCCAGGCATGGTGGTACATGCCTATAATCTTAGCTATGAGGGTGACATATGTAGAAGAAATACAGTTGAAGGCTGGCTGAGGCAAAAAAGTGCAAGACTATCTAAAAAATGACCTAAAGCAGAAAAGTTTGGAGGTGTGTATGGCTCAAGTGGTAGAGTGCTTGAGCACTCTTGGGCTCAAACCCCCACACTGCTAAAAAAAAGAAAGAAAGAAAAAAGCTGACAGGGAACCTTGATCAGCCCCCTTTTTCCACATCCCTAATCCATATAACTCATGCTTCATAGCACAGATTCATTCAAAAAAGAGTAAAAGGTCTTGTCCTTGTGATCAGGAAATTGACTTTAGTTAAAATATAATACATATGTACAGAAGGCTCTCCATATCGAATGAGCAGTATATATAGAATATTAAGGTTCTGCTGCTTGTGGAGTGCCTTAACAGTTGTTACCCTCAGGACCTGCACTACCTCGCTAACACTCTATTACTGAGGGCAGAGTCTAATCTCATTTTAATACAAAAAAGAATGACCTACACTCACAAGAATTAAAGGAGCTCAGAGGAAAAGAATATAGTTGATTAATCATAGAGGTCTCTGCCCGTAATTTGGGGCTAATGATGTCTGTTTTATTTCTTAGAATTGTATAATCAGGCAAAATATGATTATACATTTGAAAGTACCTTGAAACCATAAAAATAAATCAACTTTTTAATTGGGAAAGGTGTTTTAGAATTGGTTGGTTGAACTAGATTTGGAAAGAAAAGCAAGGATATAGATTATTAATGTATGAGGTAGAAGAAAGTGACCCAAGACATTTGTAGGTACCCTATGCCCGCTCAGAGGCCCACCTCACAGAGCTGCTAGAGGAAGTCTGTGACCGCATGAAGGAGTACGGGGAACAGATTGACCTTTCCACCCACCGCAAGAACTACGTACGTGTTGTGGGCCGGAATGGAGAATCCAGCGAACTAGACCTACAGGGCATCCGAATTGACTCAGATATCAGTGGCACCCTCAAGTTTGCGGTGAGCTATGGCAACGGGTAACTGGTTCTTGGAAATTAGGGAGTTGCTGGAGAGCCCAAGTGGAGAGCAGTAGGTCAGTGTCCTTGTCTCCCTTCTGGAGATGGGGACAAGAGGCCTCTTTTGCTGCCTGGTGTCACTCCTTTCTTCCTTGGGTTGGCAGTGCGAGAGCATTGTGGAGGAATATGAGGATGAACTTATAGAATTCTTTTCCCGAGAGGCTGACAACGTTAAAGACAAACTTTGCAGTAAGCGAACAGGTAAGCTATCTCCTTTTATCTCCTGTAGTCACAGCCTTGTGGAACCTGGCACATTCCCAATCCCTCTCCCCTCACATCTTCTGATGTTAGCTCCAGAGTTGGCTTCCATTTCCCTTGGCTTAGACATTTGGGTTTCCATTCTCTTCCTGTCAGCTCTCAGAATTTGTGGTTCCCTGACCTGAGATACAGGTAAGAGGGTAGTAGGGATATTTTGTCACTTATAAGCATACACTCTAAAGAATGGTGGTTGGTATATGTGCCAGTTTGGTTTGGGGTACTTTCTGGATAATGATATATGTCAGTATTTGAGTGGTGTTTCCTTCAAATTGTTATGTACTATTGCAGATCTGTGTGACCACGCCCTGCATATATCTCATGATGAGCTATGATCCACTGGAGCAGCGCAGACCAGCTTGATGAAATCACCCCCAGGAGGGGAAGATGGTGGCATTGCCTTTTATATTATGTTTTTATGGAAATGAACTGAAAAAAAATCTGAAACTAAAAGTACAAACCGTGTTGTCTTTTCATACCCAGAATCAGTCCTTACATTAGACTTGAAGATTAGGGATTGCAGGCAGGAAAGAAAAGGGAGGGGAAGGAAGTTTTGGGTTGGTGTAGCACAAAGTGGGCCCTGAACTATTAATTTCTTTAGTACTGAGATTCTGCTCCACTTATAAACTAGATAATCATTTATTTACTGTGTTCTAAATACAATGTATTTGGTCTAATTATGAAGAAAAGAGAAACATCTATGAATAAGCAGGAGAACACAAGTGTATGGGAACATAGAATTCTAAAAATTCCTTGTATTCTTGTTGGTAAAACATAAAAATGGGGCTTGGTCTTGAAGGAAATAATGGACGTGCATTGTTCTTCCCCCTGCCCTTCCAGATGGAGGGACCAGCAAGAGCAGAGACAGGAAGGGGAAAATGGATGTGGCCAACTCAGCTGAAAAGTAAGGGCTTTATCGGATAGGGACAGATGAGGTAAGGAGTGTTATTTAATAAAAGGCCTTGCTTGCTAGCCTAAGCTTTTAGAATTGATATGAACGCCAACAATAAATTATATCTTTGTTATTTACATCATTAGCCATTATCAGTCTGGACCATAAATTCCTACTTTCTGTAGAGATCCTATACTGAGCATAGGGTTGAAAATCTAAAGAATTCCTCCCTTTGGAAACTTCTGGAACACCCTAATCCCGGGAGGTTTCAGGTTTTAGAACAGAGTATCTCTGTTCCAGAAGTGTCTTGAGGAGAGAACCCCTGAATAAACATTTCAAAGATTTTTTTTTTTTAATTATAGCATTTTAGAACCTAAAGGGACATTGGCTCAGGTATGGTGATAAATGCTTGTAATCCCAACACTTGGGAGGTAGAGGCAGGAGGATCACAAGCCCGAGGCCAGCCTCTGCTACACAGTGAAACTGTCTCAAAACCAACAAAAAAAGGGGGACTTGGGGATCATCTAGTTCACATCTGCCCATTTTACAGATGAACAAGTCTAAAGAAACCACAGACCCTTAAGTTGTATATTTAGTGGCAAAACTGGATCTATAAACTAACTTTCCCAAGTACTAATCTGATCCAGTACAGACAATACAGATGTAGAGTAGCTTCTATTTTTGACTTCTCTTAATACCTTGCACTAAGACTGGTCCACAGAATAAATGCATTCAAGAAAGTTTCTACCACAAATCCTTTTTTTTTTTTTCTTTTTTTGGCAGCACTGGGGTTTGAACTCAGGGCCTTATGCTTGCTAGGCAGGCACTCTACCACTTGAGCCACATCTCCAGCCTTTTTTTTTTTCTTTTTTGGAGAAGGGAAGATAGGGTGTTGTTGGCTGGCTTCAAACTCCATCTTGCCAGCTTCCAGAGTGCTGGGGTTATAGGCAAGAAAAAATTCTCTCTCTTTCTCTTGCAGTATGGATTGTTGAACTCTGGGCCTCACATTTACTATGCAGGTGCTTTACCACATGAACCACTCCACCAGCCCCAAGAAAAAAATTATCTTTTTTTGTACCAGTGCTTGAACTCAGGGCCTCCACCTTGAGCCACACCAGCCCTTTTCTGTGAAGGGTTTTTTTTCGAGATAGGGTCTCGCAGACCATTTCCAGGGCTGGACTCGAACTTTGATCTTCCTGATCTCTGCCTCCTGAGTAGCTAGGAATACAGGTGAGAGCCACTGGTGCCTGGCTCGAAAAAAATTACCTTAATACTTATTTTATCTATTCACTCACATTCTTTTCCCCTCTTCTCCCCTTTTTGTTACTTTTTGTATTAACACATAATGATTGTACATTCCTATGAAATTTTCTTTTTTCTTCAGTACTGGGGATTAAAGCTACATCTCCAACTCCCTATGAAATCTTAACACATAAACTAGGTTAGAGCAAATACTCTGACAATAGTTTTCAACTAAATTCAGAGTCTGTTAATTTCATCTCACCCTCTTTTTTTTTTTTTTTTTTTAATTGGTGTTTTCAACTCAGGGCTTTGGCTTGCACATATTTGAACCACACCTTAGTCCCTTTTGCTCTGATTATTTTGGAGATGGGGTCTTGTAAACTATGTCCCCAGGCCGTCCTCCAATTGCAATCCTCTTGCTCTCAGCCTCACAAGTAGCTGGGATTACAGGTGTGAGCCTGGAATCTTCTCTTTTTTTTTTTTTTAAAGTTTCAACAAGAATTTATTTTAGTATAGCAGGATAAAGTAGGGAGAAGTAGAAAGAAAAAGAAACATTTCTGCTCCCCACACAGGAAATGGGAGTAGACTCCTGTATGTATTTTTTTTTAAGACAGCGTCTTCTTATGTAGTCCAGGCTGGCCTCAAACTCTCAATTCTCTTTCCTTAGTGAGTGCTGGAGTTATAGGCACATACTACTGTGCTGGGCTTAATTCCATTTTCTCTTCTTTTTTTTTTTTTGGCAGCACTGGGGTTTGAACTCATGGCTCATGGTCTCATCCTTGTTAGGCAGGCACTCTGAGCCTAGCCCAGGCAGTTGTTTTGTTTGTTAGTTTTGGTTTTGGTTTTTTGGCAGTACTGGGACTTGAACTCAGGGCCTCACTCCATCTTCTCTTATCAGCCGTAAGAAATGGTATGTAGCTAGGTGCTGGTGGCTCATGCCTATAATCCTAGCTACTCAGGAGGCAGAGATCAGGAGGATCGCAGTTCAAAGCCAGACCAGGCAAATAGTTCACGAGACCCTATCTCAAAAAGACCTTTCACAAAAAAGGGCTGGTAGAGTGGCACAAAGTGTAGGCCCTGAGTTCAAGCCCCAGTACCTCAAAAAAAAAAAAAAATCACAAGTTTTAATAAAATAAATTTAATGCTAATCAGTAAAGAATTACTTGTGATATAACTCACTGGTTGTCAAGGCACAGCTTGATGAACTCTCCAGCCAAGAGTCTTTACTATTGATATGCAAGGGTACATCCTACATGGGAAAGGATAGAAGGTATTCTCTTGCTTCTATCTTTACAGGGTTTGTAGGATACACTTTGTACATCTTTTACTATACCTCAAGGAATCCATGACTTTATCTGAACCTTTCTGGAAATTCACTAACAAATTACACTAACCTAGTATTTTGTAAAGCATATATTCTTAACCTTGCAAATCTACTTGTACTTTAAGCCTTAGCTGCCGTCTAAATTCATTTATCAGTAAAATGTTATAACTTAACATATATATAATAATGCCATTTCCAAAGACATTATTAAGTGAGGTCCGGGTATAATTAGGAAAAAAATTAATTTTTTTTTGTTTTTTTGAGACAGGGTCTTGTTATGTTGCCCAGGCTGGCTTCAAACTCTTGATACTTCTGCCTCAGTCTCCCAAGTGCTGGACTACAGACACATACCACCATGCCAGACTTTAAACATTGGCTTTGCCAAATAACAGTTTTGTTTTTGATTTTTGGGGTTTTTTTGTTGTTTTTTGAGACAGTATCTTGCTCTGTTGCCCAGGCTAGCCCAGAACTTGTTATGTAGCTCAAGCTGTCTTGAACTTGTGATTCTCCTGCCGCTTAAGTGCTAGGATTACAAGTGTGTACAACCATACCTCACTAAATTTTATTATGTGAAAATCTAATCTTTTAGCAATGTCCTGCAGTATCCCGCAGTGTCCCATACCTGTAGTCCCAACTGAGGCAGGAAGATCACTTGAAACCCTGAACTGGAGACCAGCATGGGCAATATAACATAACTATCTTAAAAAAAAAACTTTTAGGGATTTTTGCGTGTGTGTGTCTGTGTGCTTTGAACTCAGGATCTTGTACTTGCTTAGACAGGTACTTTCCAAGTCATCAGCCCTGCTTTTGGTTTCAGTGGTGGGGATCTAGTCCAGAGCCTTACATCCCTAGCCTAGAGGACTTTTTGTTGTTAAATAGGATTCAGAGCTGGTGGAATGGCTCAAGTGGTAGAGCACTTGCCTAGCAAGTGTGAGACCCTGAGTTCAAACCCCAGTACTGCCAAAAAAATGGATTCACATACACACACACACACACACACACACACACACACACACACACACACATAATTTAAAAAATTTTTTTGAAAGATAGCAGACACAAGATTCCTTTATTTTTATTTTTTTGGTGTTACTGGGGTTTGAACTCAGGGCTTTAGGCTCGCTAAGCAGGCACTCTACCAGCCATTGTTTGTTTGTTGTTCATGGGTTTTTTTGTTTGAACTCAGGGCTTGACACTTTGCAAAGCAGGTGTTCTACTGCTTGAACCACACTTCCAGTCCATTTTGGACTAGTTTGGAGATGGGGTGGGTCTCATGAACTATTTGTCCAAGCTGGCCTCGGAACTGTGATCCTCCCACCTTGACCTCCCAAGTAGCTAGGATTATAGGAGTGAGCCACCATCTCCTGGCTTCCTTTATTTTTTTTACAGTATTGGGATTTGAACTCAATTCCTCACACTTGCTAACTTGCTAAGCAGGTGGTCTACCACTTGAGCCACTCCAGCAGCTCTGTTTCTTATGTTCAGTATTTTCAAGATAGGGTCACATGAACTATTTCCCTTGGCTGGCTTCGAACCACAGTCCTCCTGATCTCTGCCTCCTGAGTAACTAGGATAACAATCGTGAGCCACTGGCACTTAGCCCTTTTTTTTTTTAATTTTTTTTTTTTTTTCACTCACATGTCCTTATTGACTTTAATTACCGAGTTAGAAGAACGATTACAACCATATTCAACAGGATTTTGTTGTCTGGGTAGGAGCATCCAACTAAAACATCAGTACAACTTTCATTCATCAAAGAAAATATTTTGTTCAAGTTCCCAAAATAAAATTGAGGACCTATTTTGAAGGTCTGAATTGAAGAAAAAAGAACAAGTTGAAAACTGTATTCTTTCAGTGGGAGCTAAAAATCAATGTACACGTTCTAATCAGACATCTGTTTAAGTTTTTAAAGGTCTACCAGGCCAAACCCTTTGCTGCCTTTTTTCCCCTTCCTTTCCCTCGCTTTGCCTTTAGCTTTTTTATCTGTCTCTGGTTCATCCATACTGGATACTGTCCATTCTGGTCTAGAAGGGTCTTTTTGTTCCTCTTAATCTCAGTCTCCATTTTCATGTCATCTTTTTCATTCTCCTTTACACTTTGAATTTTCTCTTGGTGATGGCTGGGTATCACCACAGTTGCTATCTCTTGAACATCTTTCATTAAAACATCACTGTCTACTTTGAGAATATTTTTAAGTCTGTTGAGCTCCTTTGGGGCATTCTTCTTTCTCTTTTCAGCACGCATCTTCCTTTTCCACTTACTTCGTAAACTTTTAGCCATCTTTTACCTGAGAAACAAGGACACACGCCACACACCACGCGCCGACCGGAAACCTTTTTTTAATTATTGTATGTTGTTTTTTAATCCAGGATCTCATGTAGCAAAGCTGGCCCAGAACTCACTATGTAGTCCAGGCTGACTTGGAACAAGTGATTCTCCTGTCTCAGCTTTGGGAAATTACAAGTGTGTTCTACTATGCCCAGCAAGATCTCTCTCTCTCTCTCTCTCTTTTTTTTTTTAAGCAGTACTGGAGTTTGAACTCAGGGCCTCATGCTTGTTAGGCAGGTGCTCTACCACTTGAGCCATGGCCCAAGATAACTTTAAATATAGAACAGGGATGACTACCAAGGGAAAGGGAATTAGTGAATGTTGGATAGTCATATAAAAAGAACATATATTCTCACTTAATCATTTAATCATTACAACTCTAAAAAGTAGATGTTATTCCTATTTTACAGGTTGGGGGTGTATTTCAGTGGTTAAAAGTACTTAAATAGCATGTGCAAAGTCCTGGGTTTGTTCCCCAGTACTGGGGAGGGGGTAGGGAACCAAAACCAGACATAGATATTCCTGTTTTACAGACAAAGAAACTATGTTCAGAAAGGTGTCAGCTGGACGCAGGTGGCTCACGCCTGTAATCCTAGCTACTTGGGGGGCAGAGATCAGGAGGATCACAGTTCAAAGCCAGTCGGGAAAATAGTTTGCAAGACCCTATCTTGAAAAAACCCATTACAAAAAAGGGCTGGTAGAGTGGCTCAAGGTATAGTCTCTGAATTCAAACCCTAGCACTGTCAAAAAGAAAAAATAAAAAAGTTAAGTGTCAGCAAGGAGCCAAGGCTCCAACCCCACTGATCATCTTGTCCCTAGGTCAGTGGTCTTTGTGCTACACCTTATTTCATGGAGTGGAGTCTCCATGTAGTCTCCTGTAGCTGTGTAAAGTAGGACTTTTTTTTCCTCTGTTTACCCATCTTTCCAGGCTAATTATTCCTCATAAGGAATAATTTGAGGCTGAGGCCTCAAAGGATTTTGAGTTTGAGGCCATCCTGAACTATATAACAAAAACCTATCTCAAAAAAAGAAAAAAATTATAGCCATCCAGCTACTTACGAGGCTGAGGCAGTTGTATGTCTTGAACCCACGAGTTAGAGGGCAGCCTAGGCAACACAGTGAGACACTGTCTCCATAAAAACCTTTTAGAGCTGTGTGTAGCTCACTGGTAGAGTGCTTGCCTAGCATTCATGAGGTCATTTTAGCTGCTAAATGTTTGTCCTATCTTTATGTGTTCTGGGGGAGGGGTCACCATTTTTCATATATTTCAGTTATGGATGTTCAAAGGTTTTATAGATGAGTAAGACTAGTTCCTTATCTCTCTCTCTTTTTTTTTTTTTTCCAGTAGTGAAGTTTTGAACTGGGCATCATGCTTGCTAGGCAAGTGCTACCACTGAAGCCATGCCCCCATGTCACCAATCTTTATTTATTTATTTTTGCTTTGGTTATTTTTGAGATATGGTCTCACACTTTTTGCCCAGGACTAGCCTCAGACTGTGACCCTTCTTATGTATGCCTTCTTGTAGCTGGTATTATTACAGGCAACAGCTACCATACCCAGGTTGTTTGCTGAGTTGGGGTCTGGGTAACTTTTTTTGCCTCAGCTAACCTTAAAGGAGTACACCTGGCCTAGTTTCTTATCTCTTTAAGTATTTTTATAGCAGTACATTGTGCTGATGTCTCCAGGAGACAGTTGATGATTCAAAAATTTCCTTGGGGCTGTGGCTCAGTGGTAAAGAAATTGCCTAGCATGCATGAGACTCTGAATTTAATCTCCAACACCTATGAGTTGCAGCAGATAATTCACAGTCATCAGATGAACAATAAAGCCTGGCAATTAAGAAAGACTCTGGGATGAGGCTGATCTCCATCTGCATTCTAGTTATGTTAATTATAAGCTGTGACCCTTGCAAGAAAGATACTTCATCCAAATCTGGGATTCCTCCTCTTTAGAGATATTCTACCTGCATATCTTAGAGTTGTCGTGAGAATTAAGGTAATTCATGTACCATATTTAGATAGTAACTTGAAATAATAAGCACTGGATATGTTTTAGCTGTTAAATACAGAAGTTTGGTTTATTCATGTAGACAATTTAAGGTTATAGTTAGGCTGCATTCTCTCACTTGTTCATGGCCACCAGGGGGCACCATTGCCTAGATCCATTTTAAAGAAGTCCTCCCAAGGTCATTAATGATCTCAATACTCAGCCTTTTCTATTGGCCCTCTAGTTTCCAGACAATTATATTTAGATCTAGAGCTTACTTGGCTACTGTATTCATGCAAGTCTTAACTTTCTACCTTCCCAGGTCCCATCTATGTTCAGAAAGAGACTCTAGGCCTGGGGGTATGGCTCAGTGGTAGTGTTTGCTTAGCATATTTAAACCTAGCAATGACAAAAAGGAGATACAGATTCAAACCAACTTCTGGGAGATTCCGCTTAGCTCCTTTGATCCTTGGATTTTCCTACTGGCCTTCTAGCAGTGTATGTCAAGACTGAATAACTTCAAAACAAGTCTAGGGCTGGGGGTGTGGCTCAAGTGATAGAATGCCTGCCTAGAAAGCACCAGGCCCTGAGTTCAAACCCCAGAACTGCCAAAAAGAAAGCAAAATAAGTCTATAAGGTCCTTGATGGTAGGCTAGAAGACTCTTTTTTAAGTCAAGGAGCTTAGAACACTGCTGTTCTCCACCTTCCCTACAATTATTAAAACTCCAAAATAGATTACCCTAATGGCTACCCAACAATTGTCTCCATGGTATCCTCACCCTGAGAAAGAATGCCTCCTGTCTCCTGGGACAGTGGATCTGGTAGCTACTCTGTGGAAAATTAACCAAAGGGAAGGAACCAGGTCAGACTATTCTAAGGTTGTGAGGCAATACCTGTATGAGATGCTAAATTGGGAGTAAATATTGATCAATGAAGCTTTGAAGTTCCCCGGGAAGTAAGTGAGGTCAGTGCTTCTGTGGGGTGTTGTTCAATTTCTCTTTACAAAATTCTTTCCTAAGAACTACTTATCTGATCTCCAAGCCAGAGGAGCATTGGTTGGTAGGTTTGAGTCCAGCTCTGAGAAAACTTGGAGAAATAGGGTTTGTTTTTTTTTTCCCCACGTTTAAGCTATAAACTAAGGTCTATCTAAATTTGGCTTAAAGGGATACTGAGACCTCTGCACGTTGTGTTGCTTTATGGGGAGATAAAAAGACATGTTCACTTAGGCCTTGGGATTTGCAGATAAGGTACTTCAATCCTTGGGTCAGCTCTTCTCTGCCCTTGGGTCAATTACAATGACAAGCTTAGAGCAGTACTAAAAGTTCTTAGGTCTTGCCGTGGTTCTCTGGGGCAACACAGAATAAAAGAGTGTAGAAGACAGCCAAGTAGGAGAAGTGGCCCAGAGGCCATATGGGAATAGTGTGAGTGATTAATGCCTGATCTTAGGTGAAGGGTAGGTCTGCAGCTTCTGGTCCAGTGGGGTGGGCTGGCTGTACAGAGGATGTGATTGGAATGACAGGGAGACTAATGCCCAGGATCCAGGGGCTCTGACAGGAGCTAGAAGCCATCATATTAAGGTGGTCTTTTTAAGACTTAAATGACCCAAACACTGTATGCACATATGAATAAAAAAAGAAAAAAGAAAAAAAAAACCTTAGATTTCCTGGCTTTATATACAGAACCTACAGCTCACAAAGAGCACTAAAATATTCATAATCCTAATTTTGCTCTCTTCTCCACATATTGAGAGCTCTTAATATGTATCTGTAATACCACGGCTTCTGCTGCTTTCGAATGAAAACCAGTCGGCTAACTCTGGCATCATAATCTGTTTTCCACATGATGTCACCTCCATGGCCATGAAGTCATTAACCAAAGACATTCTTCAAGCATGCTAAGGGGCTAGGAGGAGCGGTCAGTGATAGTATATTATGAAGTCGACCTTCAAAAGACAGTCCTGGAGCTTTGTCTTTAGTATTCTCCGGAGAGCTAACCCCAAATATGTTAAGGGTAAAGGGAAAGGCCAAAGAAGGAAGTTAACTGAGTTCTCAGGCACATCCTTAGCCACCTACAATCCTCTGCACCTTCCCCCACAACCCCCGTTCCCAGCTACCGTTAATTATCCTAATCCGTATGGTCCAATCCTTCACGCCACAACAGCTGTTAGCGGCTCAGGTCCCGCCCCTTGTCCATACCAGACCAATGGCCGAGCCAGGAGTGAGTCTTCCCCTCCCCACCCCGAGAGGGGCGGGACCGGGTCCTGTTAAGGGGCGGGGCCTCGCTGAGGACCCCGGGCCGGGCGCCGCCGGCAGTTAGTCTACCCTTTCCCTCCGCCGCCTCCTTTCAACCTTGTCCGCCGCTTGGCGCGGTCTCTGGTGCGGCGGCCGCGGCTCGGGTGCCTGCCGCAGCTCTCTCCCCTCTTTCCCTCCCCACCAGATCCCGGAGTTCTCCCGCCATGGCTTTACTCACTGCAGCCGCCCGGCTCTTGGGATCCAAGGTGAGCAAGTAGGGAGGGCGCGTCGTCCCGGGTGGTGCCGAGACTACCGCTGGCCCTGGGCGCCTGGGTCTCCCTCCCACACCCATGCGCACCCCTGCGCGCCTTAAAGGCGCCCTGAGTTTGGCTGGCTGCCAGACCTGCTTGGAGCTTTTGGGGCCATGTGCTACCCCGCCCGTCTAGCTGCTGGGGTGAGTGAGGTGAACGCTGTCGGCGCCGGCCTTGCAGTCTTGGGCAGGTGGGAGCCCAACCCTACTGTGCTCCCACATGTTTAAGGTGGAAGGGGAGGGGGAGAGGAAACACCTGGTCCTGGAGGAAGAAGGATCCCAAATGAAAGCCTCCAGTAGAGAACAGAGGTGTGGCGTGCCACTCGAGTTGCGGAAAGGGTTCTTAGGAGGTTGGGCGGGGGTGAACAGATGTGCTCAGTCTGTTACTGGGCAAGAGCTGGAGCGGCGGCTAATTTTTGCTCTGCTTTGTAGGGAAGGCCTTGCCAGTTCCTCAACTGCCTGTTTCCATTTCTCCAGCACAATTACTGGAGCCTTCAGTGACTACACCGTTGTAGTTTTTCTTAAAGGAGTGGGATGCCCAGCTCCTCTTTGTCCTTGGGACTCTTGCACTTAATTCTATATAGGAGGAGCTTGGATGGGGTGGGGCATTTCCGTAAAACCTCCTGTTTGATTATCACATATGATTGGAGAAAGAACCAGAAAGGTTACTCGACTACAGGCCAATAAGTGAAGATACTCGGCAAGAGGTAGTAATGCCAAGGTCACATGGCCTATCCTACTACTTGCTTTCCCACATTTTACTATCCATCTTAAGTCTTGTCTACCCAGAACTTTCCTTCTCCAGAGAATACTCTGGAGCCCTTTACTTGACATTTCTTGCCTTTTGGATCCGAAAATACTGCTCCAGGTAATGATCCCTCCAATTTTAAATTGCCAGTACATTTGGCTTTGGATAACTTGACCCTTTAAACAGAGGCTGCTGTGCTGAGGTACTCCTATCCTTTAGTCCAAGCAGGGACAGTCCCACAAGTGACCTTGACTTCTGCAAAAAACTTAACATTTTCTTTTCTACAGACAGTTGAAAGTTGAGAGTACCTGAAGGATAGGAAAGGCTTAGAATGGTTTTGACTTGCTGTGTGTTGTCATGCATGGTTGGCAGAAATAAAGTGATACCTGCAGGATTTGTCTTCAGGTTCTTTCAAGCACCCAGCAACAAAGTAGAGACTGATTATTTGGGAGATACTTGACTTACTTGGCTGGTGCTACTCCTGCCAGGGAACAGCGTAAGGAACCCTCTAGGGAAATGAAGCAAGTTCTAGGTAGTGTGTTGGCAAAATAGGAGACACTTTCATTAGTTCATTCCAGAGCTGCTAACTCAGACCAGGTAGACTAACTCTACAATGAATTTGAAAAGGCCTTTGGATTTATCTTCTCTCATAAGCCCCTAGGTACTCTCAGAGCACTGGGATGACAGGGCTACAGTTGTGGTATCATTATTTATTTTTATGTTAGAACTTAGGAACCTATAAATTAGAAGCCATTAGAAGGCTTTTGACCCTAGCAAAGTCCAACAAACAGGAGTGGCATTTCCTGAGAAGTAGTATGACCAGGATACTGAGAAGCCCTTCAGCAAGTCAGCCTTGCTCTTGCCTGCCTGGGTTTTCTAGATTAGCCTGCCACTTAATTGGTAGTTGTCGTTGGTAATAGATTTTTACTTTTGATACTAAGATAGGCTTCATAAAGGAAGCAAAGTAGTCTTTTGAGCTGGAATAGCTGATTTCCTACCTCTTTGATTCTCAAGGTCATATGTAATCTCACTTTTCTTTTTGAGAAGGCAGGGTCTTGCTGTGTTTAACCTTACTAGGAAACAAAAATGCTAGTCATTTTTCAGTTGTTCCATCCTACTCACTGTCATGTATTTAAATGAACTGAATTGGAGAGGTCAGACTACAGAGTCTTAATTATTTTATCTCTTGTTTATTGAAATTAATTAGTACAAAGCAATGGCTTTAATATTAGCTGTGGATGCCTCAACTTTGTGACTTAAAAAATGGCTCACTAGCATGCCTATAGTGAGGCTGAGTCAGGAGGATCATGAGTTTGAGGCCAGCCTAGGCTGCTATATGTAGCGAGATCCTATTTGAAAAAAAGGTCTCGATTGGGAATGTAGCTCAGTGTTACAAGTGCCTAGCATGCTAGAGGCTGTGGGTTTGATCCCCAACATTGCAAAAAGTCTTTTCATAGATTATCTGGGTTTGGATTTGGGCTGGGAGATGGAATAGGCCACCAGGTCACCAGCTCTTGAAGTCAGTGTGCTTAAACAACCCTAGCTAAAGGAGGTTTTTGTTGGGGTTTGTTTTCTGCTGTGTGTATGTGTGTGTGTGTGTGTGTGTGTGTGTGTGTGAGAAAGAGAGAGAGAGAGAGAGATAAGTTTTTTCGAGATAGGGTCTTAAGAACTATTTGCTGGCTTAGTACTTCAGTCCTCCTGATCTCTGCCTCCTGAGGAGCAAGGATTACAGACATGAGCCACTGGTGCCCAGCAGTTTTTAAGTTTTTTTTGTTGTTGTTGTTTTGTTTTGTTTTGTTTTTTCAATACTGGGGTTTGAACTCCAGCTTGAGCCACACCGCCAGGCCTCTGCTTTTTGAAGCACAGTCTTACTGCGTAGCCCAGGCTTGCCTTGAACTCATGATCCTCCTGCCTCTGCCTTCTCAGTGCTGGGGTTATAGGCATGCACAATCAAGACCATACTAAAGGGTGTTATTTTTGTACCACTGGAAATTGCTCCTAGGATGTTGGAACTTTGAGAATATCAATCCAAAAGCGTTGCTGGATTATTTCTAGACTTTTTCAAGACACTTAAATGAATACCCCTAGTTCCTTTACAGCAGATTTATACCACTGCATATATCCTACAAGTCCTAGTCTGAAATTGGTTTCCACAAAACTGAGTCAGTTATGTCCTGGGAAATAGTTAGGTTTAGTGCCTAAAACTTTTAAAGGCAAGTCTCAAATATCATGCATTCACATTGACTTACAGTAGTGGTGACTACTTGACACTTACTAGATGAACCAAAGGTGGGTTGGGGAGCTTATAGAGTGCTAATAGGATAAGTGCATTTGTTCTTGCTAGTGGCCTTTAATTACTAGGAGGTGAATGAATGCATAGGCATAGAAAGGCAGAGTGAGAACAGATTGGTGGGCAGTGAAGTAGATAGAGAAGGGAGCACTGACATGCCTGGTTCTTAGAATTCAACTGTGCAGAACATAGGAATCCAGACTTGGTAGATTTCACTAAAGCCACATAGTAACTCTTTCTGTCTATGTCAGTGTTTTATGTGCTAAGAGTTGAGTAGGAGCCAGGCATGGTAGTTCGTGTTTATAATCCCAACTGTTCAGGAGGCACGTGGCAGGAGGATCTTGAGTTTGAGGCTAGCCCAGGCAAAGTTAAGGAGACCCTATCTCAAAAACAAAATAATTACAAAAAAAGGAAAAATAGAATCAGGACCTAGCTCAAGTGGTTGCCTAGCAAATGGCAAGGCTCCGAGTTTAATTCCCAGTGGGGAGGGGGAAGAAAAATCTGAGTAGGATGTAAAACTTAAAAAAGTAGTAAGGCAGCTTTAGTAACAGATTTTTTAAACTTTTTTTTTTTTTTTTTTTTGGTGGGACAGGGGTTTGAACTCAGGGCTTTATGCTTGCAAAGCAGGGAGGGTTTTTTGTTTTTGTGGTGCTAGGGTTTGAACTCAGGGCCTACACCTTGAGCCACTTCGCCAGCCCATTTTTGTGATAGTTTTTTTTTTGAGATAGGGTCCCACGAACTGTTTACCCAGGGTGGCTTCAAACATCCTCCTGATCTCTGCCTGCTGAGTAGCTAGGATTACAGGCATGAGCCACCAGTGTCTGGCTGTTTTTGTTTTTGTTTTTGTTTTGTTTTGTTTTGAGATACTGGAGGTTGAACTCGGGCTTTGCACTTGCTAGGCAGGCATACTACCCCTGGAGCCAAGCCTTCAGCCCAGCAATCGATCTTTCTTAGCATCTAACTGTCTCAGTCCTTTCCTCAACTGCCCAAGTTCCTTAAGTCCTTGTATTCTTTTAATAAGATGCCATTTTAGGGATCTGTAAACTCAAAATGGGCATCATTATCTCCAATGCTTGTTCACAATGCAGGTTCCTTGATCCAAATTACGATTCAGCAGAGGTGGGATGGGATCTGGAAACTTGTGGGTTTTTTTTGTGATTGATGATGTGTGTTGTTCCTAGGACCACAGTAAAGCCGATAAAGCCACATACAGAATTTTTTTTTTTTTTTTAAGATTAGAAAAGCCAGGGACATGCAGGGGAGCAGAGGAGCTCCACACATACATACTTTTTGTTTGCACTTTTGTTTTGGTGGTACTGGGAGTTGAACTCATGGCTTTGTGCTTTGGTAGAAAGGTGCTTTACCACTTGAGCCGTGCCCCCAGCCTTTTTTTCTTCAGGTATTTTTTTCCAGTAAGGGTCTATTATTTATGCCTGCACTAACCTAGACTGCAATCCTCCCGATCTCTGCCTCCCAGGAGTTAGTGTTTACAAGCATGAACCACCACACTTGGCTGCACTTGTCTTTATTAGATGTATTATAGGAAACTTGACATTTGGGTACTTTTTTGGACTAGTGATTATTTTGAAAATTGACTGCTGGGAATGTATAGCTCAGTGGTAGGATGTGTGCTTAGCCTACTCAAGGTCCTGGGTTTGATCCTCAGCACCACAAAAACAGAGTAGGGCTGTTAAAAGTAGTAGAATGCTAAAATAGCTTAAAGCTATTTTTGAGGGGATTTCTTCTTACAAGCTTTTTTTTTAAATGCCTTAAGGAAAAGATTCTTGCAAATCTCTGTAGCAAGGTTTTAGGAACTAAAATTTGTAAAATCTAGCAGAAATGATGAAATGTTTTTTTATTCCTGGGAAAATACAAGGGTGGCAGATCCTGTACACTTTATTCTTTAGTGTACATAGTG